CACGGTCTCACCGACTTTTCAATGGCAACTGCTAGAACATTAGAGGACAAACCGGTGATTTAAAAGAAATAAAATCAGGAGCAGAAATAATCCCTAAATAAAATGATCGGGAAAGTAGTGTGATATCGGTACATGTATATAGCTATAGTGCCATGTTGGTTTGTTGATTGTCCTTGTTCAATGGCGTGAAAATACCCAAAATCAGGGCTTCCCAAACTAGGAGCCGCGAAAAATACGTATTGATACCTTTCAATAAAAGATCTTTTTTGCAATGAGTTTCATATGATCCAGGAGTGGCCAACAAGTCGATCGCGTTTGGTGAGTAAATTCAATATAATACCTCAAAAAATGCCTTGAACTAGTTTGATGCAGCGCATGTCGTGTTTTTAAAACAGGGATATTACAGTACTGTACATGCGCAAAATTTGACGCACACATAGTAGTTCAGTCTTGCAATGTATATATGCTCATTGAGTCTTGGTAAGCCCGATAGAGCATATTATTACGTAACAAATGCAAGTTTCGCTGCTGCCGAGGTTTAGAAATGAACTTGTCGAACATCGTGTGTCTTGACCGAAAATTGATCCTACAATAACTTTTGCAGTATACGAAAGTTTTTTTTATCACTGCAAGAGTAGTATGATAAATTTTATTCGCAACGATATAGCAGTGGCATCGGAATGTCCAATTTCTCCAATACTGAAGTTTGAGCGGTCATGTAACATTTATGGTTTGAGAATATTTATTTTTCGCTGTTTAGATAATACATGGATACTAGGCATTTTTCTGAGAAATTTTCAAAACTTATGGCTATAAAATAAGGGTGGTTTTAGATCTGAATTGTATGATTTGAATAAATTTTAAATAATGATGAAACAGTTACTCTGGGTACACTTACATAATCAAATTAACAAATTAAATGGGACATGAAAAATACAAATTTTTGCGACGATATTTGAGAATTCTTCGAAGGAACCGATCTTATTGGCAGCGGCGGATATTTTGTATACGTGCGTGCAGTCATCTGTATATTCAGTACTCGTTCGTTTTTTTTTTTGCATGACCTTATACCGATCAGTCGATCGCGAGCTATTTTTTACGGTTTTAGTTGATCGCGGTCGAAAGCAGGTTGGCCAACCGACCACCCTTGAATTATAAACGAACAAACAAAACCTAACAACAGTCAGTAAAATCACATTTTATGGGCCATGGTAGAAAACCCTGCTTTATATAAATACAAAATCGCAAAGGGGATGGGGTGCGCCACGCTTTTTGAACCAAGGAAAAATAATCTTTATCTACAGAAAACCGAATTTTCAGAATTAAACTTATTTATTATAACACCATCACGAAATTTTTTGACGCCCTAGCAGAATTGAAACGACGCACTTCCACGGGACTAGGTAAGAAAAATTGCGCTATCGACGAAGTCTTTTTTTATGGGGAGCGCTTATATTAAAATGATTTTTAAAAGTTAGACTTGGTCTTATTTTTGGGGAAACACGGTCGAACCATCGCGCTTGCATAACAATGCCGCCTCTAATCGCTAAGCTAGAGGTTCCGGAAGGAAATTTGCGAAGTGCGTCTCGAAACATATCACGTATTTTATTTATTCTAAACGTTTTATTGTTTCTCATCGATGCAAATGATGTGAATATGAATCAAATTCATATTACAGTTCTATGTTGTTTACTTTCTGTTAGGGTATATTGTTACGTAACAGGTAAACCCTACATAATTTCGTAGGCCGCAGTTTATTCATTTGCTGAACCGAGTTCATCGAACATGAGTGAGTTTTAAACATATTGAAGAAAAACTAGGCAGAGTCAAGAAAGGATGGTTAACCTTTTGCCTCTATTCCCATCAAAAGGCATAAAGTACATGTCAACGATGACAAAATTGTGTTTTATTTTGCGGCAACATATTTTTCATGGATGTGCGCCATTAGTTTTTCCCTGATAATTTGGCGCGCACAAACCGCTGAATTATGCTAAGTTTGATCAATAAGAGTGAAAAATTTGAGCTACGGACCAGGCCATCGGTGGCCAGACATCGTAACTCATCATTTAGCCCTACATAAACCCATTACATTGAATAATTGAGTAACGTTAATCTGTGTAAAGAAGTGCTTGTTTTTGTTATTGAGTAGCCGTTAAGAATTAGCTGTGTCAATGAAATACCAAAATGCATATTTCGAACTGATTAGCATTATTGGCATTGACCAAGGGCCGCGAAAAATTTTAGTATATATCTTAGGGGCCGCGAGCTCAAAAGTTTGGGAAGCCCTGACCTTAATTATCATAGCGCATGATTGCCACCATGGTTTGCGGTTAAAAAACACAACTGATGTTAGCAAAATGATGTAATTTGAGAAAGAATGAAATTATCGGCGTAAAAAGGCGTATAAATCTAAAAACTCGATAATATGATAATAGATCTAGGGGATTGGCGCAAGTTCAAACAAATATAGGGACTATCTAAATTCTAAACAATCACTTATACGCAGGTGGAAACAAGATAGTTTTGTTATCATTTCTCGACTTCTTCACTTGTATAATGAGGTCTGATTTAAAAAATAGTCTTTTCCTGAAATGGATTTCATTTTCAAATATCCCACTGTTTTCCCAACCAATGCTGTGATATGTAAAAAGAGCATGCTTCGAGAGGCCGACTTCTCAAATTTCTTTTGCTTAACATCTCGCTGATGTTTTTTCTTCGAGTTTCGAGATTTCTTTTTGTTTCTTCAATGTAAACACAAGAGCAATAGAACAATCGCTGCATGGAATTACATATACCTCGCCTCTTTGACGTTGGAGAGCAAATGACCGATTGTAAAATTTTGAACATCTACACACGTAATCTGGAAATTTGAAGAATACATACTCCTATTTCAGCCTTGACTAAAATAAGCCTGAAAGTTTCGAGTGTCAGTCATCTTTTCAGATTCCTGAGTCTCATTTAATGGAGCAGCATTTCTTTCTGCACCATAGTAGAAGTGGAAGTGGAGGAAAACCCACCTAAAAGAAAAGTTTGACACGGACGCTTTGCCTATCTGCTTCCAGTTTTTTGTTTTCGGCTTTCAGGTTTTAGGTATGGTGGTCCCGGAAGTTTTTTTGAAGTGGTACGAATATGAATGAAATGTGATTTCAACGGAAATCGAGGTTAGCAGATCTTGTAGTTGGCTTCTTTACAATGATTTTCGCATATGGTGCCAGATAAGGGCGTATTGAAGTTGTTATCAAATGTGCACTATTTTGCGCTATATATAGCATTTTCGAAAAGAAACATGACAGTCGAGAAAAGTTTTATAGAAACAACAGCTGACATTTGGTTAAAATATATATTAGTCTTCTTTTTCTCGTGGTTTCTTTTTTTCAACACCCTTTGTTGAATCGGTTATGGAATTAGCAAAATGAGTCAAAATGTCGATATTTTTAGGCAGGATTTTACGGGATCCCAACTCCACTGATCAGTAATAGATAGGATAGGATTTACATATTTATCCAGGGGGAAAAGAAAGCCGACAAGAGGTGCGGTGGCGAGCGTATTCCTAACGCTCCTAATATCAGGGTGGTCCAAACCCAGGTCCGCGGGCCACATGTTGCCCGCCACTTCATTATCTGTGGCCGCGTCACATTCAGTCTATACCGAATTAACTTTGTGTATAATATATATATATATATGTTTTTCTTTAAAGGCGATTTTGCAACATTTGCAGTTGGGCACAAACTCGTACGTCCTTTTCAACAATATATTTCTCTATTATTTAGCGATTCATTGAAAATCAGGCGTATAGTTATCTTACTATCAATCCCATCTCCAAACGAGACTGATGGAATTGCGCGCTTGTATAGTTTGGATAACTTCGACATTAAATAAGTCTGTGAAGAGCTTCTTTAATATCGTTGGCTGCTGTAGCCTGCCTACCTGTTCGGAGCAAAAAGCACTAGTGGGCATAGTATTAAAACATCTGGACCCTCCTTATTATTTTTGTGATGGCTACGCTCCTGCATAAGTTTCAACGGTCTTTCGATAAAATATGCTCTGGCACAGCCGAACATACGACCAGCGAACGAATTTTGGATTGGAAGATACGCGGGTATGTCATGCCAATACCCAGAGAGAATAATATGTATAAACCGCGGTTAGTGATTTGGCCGCCGAGAACATTTATCTTCCACGGTCTTTTTATAATTTTGTTCATTCAAAAGTGGTGATATATATGTATTCATTTAAATCAGGGGTGCCCAACCTGCGGCACTCGGTCACATGCGGTAATCGAAGATGAAATCTGCAGTCGTGTGTATTAGCTGCAAAATAGGCAAAAGGCCTAGCCTTTGGATAATTACCTGTGTTGTTGTTGAGGTATTTGCCTATGTTTATAAATTGCCATGTGTTGTTTTGAAATAAAGAAATTTATTTTTGATGGTGTGAGCTCATGGACATTACGCAAAATCAAAGCTAGAGACGCCGATTCCGATTAGTCGGCATCTTCACGTGTGTGTCTATGGTGTTTTATTCTCAATGCGTATCGCCTTTTCCTGTATGATATGGTTTTAATTCTTTAGTAAGCGTAATGCGCACCAAAAGAGCACGAATTTCAACGTTTTTAATCTTTACTCAGCTCACTCTATAATGTCGAAATCTCATCCTTGATCTAGAATCCTCGTCTTTGAACTAGAGATTCTATATGATGCTTGTATTCATACCGTGCGCAAGATTCAATATTTCTGGGTCGCTCCTCGTACTGCTACCACGGTCTGCTATAGAGGAATCTGTGTCCCAAAACAGTACGAAGCTTCATGAAAATTCGCAAATAACTCAATATAAGATCGCCTACTGCCATCCGGAGAACTGACTTCATATCAAAACACTGTAAAATATTACTCAGCTCGGTGGTTCCCTCTGGTAATATATTTTAAACTTTTCAATAACTAAATTTGAGGTACCAAAACGAACTTTAGCGGATCATATATATACAAACAAATGCCGCAATTACGATAAGATGGCTAAAACACTGCATTAATCCTGCCGAGTCTTGATCTCACTGGTGCTTTAGCAAAATAGTTAATTAAGCATATTCAATCACTCTGTCTACCACAATAATATTCACAGAACAAAGTTCTTTTTATTTTAAAATCATGACTTTATATCCAAGCTCAGATTTGCATAATGTAAGACATAGTAAAGTGACAATTGCTGGTCTAGTGCCGTATAAACAGAAGCGTTAAATAGAATTGTACAGCAAGGAACGACGTTGATAAGTAAATAAAAAACTCATATGTCACTGAAAGTGAAATGGTGTATCAAAATCTAGCCTAAATATAATTTTACGCAAAAAGTGAAATGTTTTAAGACAACTGCTAAAGGAACTAGTTCCGTTCGTGGAAAAGTAAGAACGAAAATTGTCCACACTGTAACTAAGTATTAAATATATAAAAAACACTTTAAAAAATCATCTTCATAACTCGGATTTTTGTCTTGAATTAGAAAACAATCCCGCCTAACAGTGGAACAGATGTGATTCAAATCTCGACATGCAGTCTAAAATTCCAAATGGCAAAAGGGACAATATTAGCGCATTTCATTGTTCTGTCCGCCCCAACATCTTTCCCCTCCCCAGGCCAAATACATGGTAGAAATTGGTAAAGTCATAGCGAACAGCAATGGATTTTCCAACCATTATACTACAAAAATTTAAATGGTAAGTGAATGCCTATTAGTAGGGCAACGATAACCGAATGAGACAATTGTATATTTCATTGAAATATTGCTGAGAAATCTCCAAAAAATTATTTAAAATATCGGGTAGACCTCTTTCAGCAGGTATTAATGGTACACAGTCTACAATGAAAATGATGAATCTTCTTTTGTAAATGTTGTTTCCGAGGTAGAGAGCATGAGAAGGTGGGATGTAACCCTTCATATCACTAAGATTTGCAAAATGTTGACAGACATTTTTTCATAGTTTCACAAAAGCGAGGGAAAAGTAAATACTCAGGTGTAATGCACGGAGTGTACCTTATTATATGAAGACCTCAACCAAGACATATATTGTAAGAAATAAAAATTATGGCGCTTCGATTTGGCACAAATGTGACATGCCAAATCTGAAATACATGCTCTACAACATTCCTGCTTCATATTCAAACTATAGTTATGCTGATCCGGCTTGAGGTTTTGAACGCTTGAATAAATTCAGCAAAACGACACCTGTCACCACTGTGACAAATCCACAAGTAATTCCAATCACATCTTCAATGGACATGTAAGCAAATTCTTGAAAAAGCAAAATGGAGCCAAAAACAAGAAAAACGTTCGTAAAAACGTACTTAATAGGTGTAATCATAGATGTGTCAAAGACTGCCAACGCCTTGTTGAGATAAACTATTTGTAAGACTATACCCAGAACGTTACCAAGTACCAACATCCAAAATATAGGATGCAGATATACAGACTCCCCGTTGCTTCCCATGTCTTTAATGGCTATTCCCAAACCCTTGCCCCACAAAACACATAAAGCACCCACAATATTGCATACTGATATATAGACCATGATGTTTGTTCGCCCGTATTTGGGTCCCGAGTAGAAAACCAGAAATCCGGTGGCAATCATCAGGATAACACAGTAAATCACAAACGCTGAAAATAGAAATTGTAATTATGTTTTTTTACTATTATGGTGAAAATTTACATTTTGCATTGTCGCTTTTAGATATTAGCTTACCAATATCGAAAGCGATTGCTAGTTATCCCTAATTTTGTCAACTAGTCACTCTGTACTCAAGGATTCCCAGCTTTGCGGTAAGTGCTTTCGAATATTCGCTGAGCAAATTTTGATAAGCAACCACGAGGTAAAACAAACTTTCTCGGGACCTCCTGAAGTATGAAGACCTGAACTCAGGTTGTGTACCAGGTTAGGGTTGAGGTTATGCGACATCTTGGTGCGCATACTTCAGGAGTACCCTTTCTCGATAAATGTGCAAAACAGTATAACATATCATAAAAATTATGGACGAAAAACATCTCCTGTTATACGAATTCCTATTTACAGCTAAATTGTTTTCATTCATTATTATTATATTAACATTCACGTAGTTTATATCCAGTCAATTTCGTTCACTCCATTCCCTCGGCAGAATATACAGGTATTTGGAAAAATAGTTTAAAAAAATGAATGTTTAATTCAGACAATAAGAGTTTTAGATATATGATTATTTTGTAAACACTTGTAAATTATCATTCACTCACTTGTATCCGTAAAATGAACGACTACTTGCTCAAACGTTTGAACTTTTTCACTACGAGGTGCGTGAATGATGACCATCACTGATCCAGTGAGACTTAGAAGAATTCCTAATTGCCCATGCACATTTAGTCGTTCACCGAGAAACATTGCAGAAAGTATGGCACTGTAATGAAAGTAGCTTGATAATTTGATGTTGAGGAAGCTTGCTTTTTACAAATTTTATCCATCATTATATCTAGATTTAAACGAATCTGACTATACAACTTGTCAGCAAGGTCGAAATATAAATTTATTATTTTCAAAAGCCAAAAATCTTCTCCGCCAACATTATTCTATCATTCGCGATGATAATAATTTTTAGGCTTGTGACGTCATATAGGTAACTTCAATTATGTATCCGTGATATAACAATGCGTCGGAAATTGCCAATTTTAGCCGAAATATTTCGCGCAAACGCACATACTACAGAAGCTTGATAAAGAAGCTTTTGTAATCTGAACATTCTCACAAAACCAGGATGTCAGACGAGAGAAAGCTCTCTGTGCAACAACGAGTGAGCAAAGAAGGGAATTTCAATATGCCGAGAAGCGGAAATAAAAAGTCCGACGCTGTAACACAAGAACTTGGCGATAAATCTGCTTCTGGTGATAGCTTAATTTCGGAGAAATCAAACAGCAGGTAATAAACTGAATGATTTGTATCGTTTTCGAAACAGATGTCACTAATTACCAGTATATCTCACATTTAATATTGTGGTGTAACCAGGTTGTATTGAATATACTTTCATACGGGCATAACGCCCGTACTCCTTTTGTTAGACAAATATCGCTAAAGACTCTGTACGAAGTAAACAAATCGGACTTGTCAGTTACCACTTGAGCGTCTTTCTTTTTTATCCTATTATAGCGTATCAATTATTTCGACACAGTTTAACACTATCGATACCTAACATGTCGAATTTTATTGACGTATCTTCTTATTTGATTTTATAGTCAATGAAGAAAATGTTCGGTAATGTCTGCCAAACGGCCAAATCAATAAATCGAAGTATTTCTTTAGAGAACTTCTTAGAGTAATTTTAGCAAAATGCTAGCAATTTACTGCTATCAGATTGCAATTGCAAACAACACTGGGTTCTGAATATAGAATGTGTCACGTATATATGGAAAAATGTAATTTTTTACATAAATAGACAGAATCATGTTGATTGTGAGCACCCATAGCATTTGTAAACGTGGTGTGTATATTCTTACGTCTTGCTTTGTTTTGCCCTTTAAAGGAAAAGAGGTCAGTCCATTCCTTACAATTTAGAAAAAAGCTCAACAAATGATTTTACTTGTATACTATTTACGGTTATAGTTAGATAACAGCCCTAAGTAGTTCGAGTTTCTTTCTATATTGCCATTGAGAAAAATATCAATGATTTGTTTTCAAAGACTTGAAAGACTGGTATTTAATTTGATAACACACATATCTATTATTACAGGTCAAGTAGCATCATGATGGATGGACGGAGAAACTCTGATGAGAAATCGAAAACTGTGGCAAAACTAAACGGGAAGAAAAACAAGGTAATTTAGATGCACTTTTACGAGTAGCAATGGTGACAAATACGATGCGTAAACCAATTTTATTATGCGAATTTGGAATTTCATTAATCATACCAAAATAAATGTGTTTGTGATTAATAAGCAGAATGCCCACATGTTTTGCCGCAAAAAGATTTTACCTTAGTGAATTCAACAGGAATTACTAATGTGTGCTCAATACGATTTATAAAGGCAAATGGATCGAGTTCTGAAAAAGTAGATGATCAAATGAATTACGAGCATTTGAAAGAACTGGAGAAGATATTTGAAGATGCAAGTAAGAATAGATGTTCTAAAAGTCAAAGATTTAAAATTTGATCAAAATTAATCCTAAAAACATGCGACATGTAATTGTCTTTATTGTCTAGCGAAACGCAACATAATACAAACTATGCTTATTCTTTATCTTCATTAAATCATTAACAAGTGTAGAATAATATCCCCACAAGACAGGAGGCATCAAAACACCAGTAGTGAGACCATCTTTATTCCTAACAGGTCGTATTCACCATCACAATTGTTTTACTTACAAAGCTAGAACTAAGATTTCATCATGCTCAATATTTAAAATATAGAATCGGAAGGAGCTGAAGGACTGAGCATGGATCAATTCAGGATTGCAATGAAGAAAACTATGGGAGAACATATAGATGATAGACAGCTTGATCTTATGTTCATGAAAGTAAGTCTAATGGCCGACTTTATTGTTTATTACAGCACCTGACAAGCAAGTAACCAAAAAATCGTTCTTCAAAAATAAATTCAATCATTACCTTAGCTAGCATTATGATATCAATATAGAATACACTTGTGAAACTCTTTATGAATGTCTGCGTCTGATAATATATTATATTCAGTCTGAACGTGATTTTTAGCAGAACAAGTATCCAGATTCTAAAATATTATTTATTGATAATAAGTTTTATATCACCAAATGTGTGTCTAAAAATAGGTTGATAATAATTGTGACGGAACCGTCGACTGGGATGAATACTTGTCATATATGTTACTGGAATACCAAGAGAAAGAAAATATGTCAACGATGGATCAAGATAAACCATTTCCAAATCCTTTGGTAGAAAAATCGTCGAATCATATTGAATCTATTTGCAGAATCACAATGTTACAGGTGTTGTTTATGTTGATATTAATTACATTTCGTATAACACGTTGATTTTGTACTGTAGTGATATTCGGATAACTAGAAATTTGGTGGGATGGCTTTATGTTATTTCTATACCCGGATTTTTTGGCAAAGTATCTGTGAATATGTATTATAAACTTAATAAAAAGACGATATCTTGACTTATCTTATAGCCTCGAAGAGACGATGTGAACCACCTATAATTATGTTTTGGCCTACATAAGTCATTGCAGACCTGTTGGGGGGAATTAGCCTTTGCTTTGCGAAAAACACAGAAAGGTATTTGAGTTCTTAGAAAACAGTGAAATTCTCAGAAAAACGACAACCGCATTACATGCTTAACGTTACAAAAATACGTTTTCAAGTGTTTCAGACATACGAGCCCCTATTCTCTCGCTTCTGGGATATTATTTACCTATAACAGATTAATTTTTACAGGCTTCTTCATCGAGGCAAAGTCCAGATAATTCGGACGCTGATGACGCCGCCAGTCGTTATCTGACCTTGTCAAAAGAAGGGATATTGAATGTTTGGAACCTCGACTGGCAACTTCAGAAAACAATGAATTTAAGAGGAAACTCAAAATCAATTTGGTTTACAGACATGACTTGTATGGCAAATTGCAACAGTTTTGTCGTTTCATCGTCGGAATACGAAATTTCCTTCTATACCATCACCAGCAATTTGATTCAAAAAAAGTTTCAGATAAAAAGTAATAATAACCATAGTCTTGAGTGAGACATATATTTTACATTTACAAACACATTATTTATATTATTTTTTTCTGGATTTCTAAAGTATATTGAGAAAAAGCGGTGGCTTTTTCAAACAGCATTTGTGTCTTTTTAAGGGCTTCGTTGCTGTGCTTTGACTTTGGATTACAGCTTCGACCGGAAAGATCCGCAGAAGAGTGTGTTGCTCTGGGGCGATACAGGTGGTAACATATTCATTGTGCGTTTTTACGAAAATCCGAATGTTGCCCTTTTTTCAAACTCAAAGCTGTTCGGCGGGAGAACAATTTTGGACAAAATGATGAAGATGGAATCTACTAATTTTACTGTCATGAAAATCAGTGAAGTTCACGGAGACTGGGTGCAACAAGTGCGCTATTTTTCAAACAATAAGGTAAATTCTAAATATTCATATTTCTTCATTGCAACGTATTACTTAAATAGTCCAGTTAATAGGACATTACACAACCCATTCGTCGTTCGAGGAATAAACGGACTATTTTATGTAAATATTTACGGTATTTTATAACAAATATTTGCTATAAGAGGGATTGAACTTATCGTTTCTATTGGCCACAAGCCCACAAATATACGGTTTCCATAGAAAAGATAACACAACGATTTCGAATCGAGTACTACTTCATGGCGGAAATCTGCGACAGTTTGTAATTTTACTTGCGACTCCACACATGTAACTGAAATCAGAGCTCATTTTTATTTATTTACTCAAATAAAACACAGTAAAAGTGAATGTTTACCTTTTCTGGGAACACGTGCTTTAATTTAATATTTTCAAAGCACTACCCAAAGTCTATAAATGTGTAAATTTGCACTACTTGTATCGCAACCCTCCGAAGTAAGCATTAACCCTACTCCGAATCACGTTTTGCTATATAGTCAGCAAACTATTTCACTGTTACATCATCAAAATCAAATATTTAACAAAAATCTAATTTATCATATATTTTCGACAGAAAACGGAAATTTTCCCCAAAATTTACGAAACAACGTGCCAATTTTATTACAGGGGCAAGAATGTCTTCTCTCTTGCTGTGTTCAACAAGAATCCGCTTTATTTTTCGCTGACATCACAGACAGTGGGAAAAGCAATAAAATATCTGTGAACAGGTATGATTTTTATTCCTAGATTTTGAGTAGAACACAAATCACATTAGTTTTAGCTCTTTCAAATGAGTACAATTTACCAAGGTGAGACGACGAGCCCGCATCATTCCAATTTAGATGTTACAAAGAACACATCTTGGTTGTACATTTTCAGAAAATCTTATTTTACGATTCGCAAAGGAGTTTTATGTCTCACGTATGACCCAGACTGGAATCTCATTATCACCGGAAGTAGGGACTGTGACGTCAGAGTATGGAACCCATTCATAGTTGCCAGATCATTGGCTGTTTTAAAAGGGCACCATGCAGCTGTGTTACATGTTGTTCTTCGTAAAGCTGACCATCAAGCAGTAAGGTTAGATATTCTTTAATACACTATTTCACTTTGAAAAGGTGGATGAAGAGGCTTGCAACAAATCAATGTTAATAGATTATATATCCTTGGATCTTTATATAATGACTCTAATTAGGATTTGGTTAGGCGGTGAGCTTTTATAACAATCGTCCATAGTAGTGTTGATATATTTGATCGTGGAGGAGATGGTCAAGATAATAAATAGTATCTTGACCACTGTACCGCCCACCCCTTCCCTGCCGGAATGACTTTCGTTCAATTGTTCATTTATGAAACAGAGAAATGGTTTATTGGAACATCCAAATATTTAATTATTATAATTCTGCAATTAAGCAACCAAAATTGATATAAACTTTATCGGAGAAAAGCACGTGGGTGAAATATTACTTCTACAAGTTATCTAACTATACCAGGCAAACAGATGAGTGTTACACATCAATTACGTCTATATTCTTAATAACTAATAAGCTCATACATGCCCACGCGAAGGGTTGCTTGTTATATATATGGGTCACAAATCGAAAAACTGACATGAAATTATATACATATACTTATGAGATTCAAAATGGAGAAGCACGTCGCTGAAGTCATCTTGTATTTCACATAAATGAATTATCCCTTTCTTTTCCATGCAATTTTACGAAGGTAAATTTTGATACGAAATATAATGGAACTCGAAATCGAAATTTCGTTTTTTGTAAAATTAAATCGCGGGCTATGCTTTCTATAATATACCTCTTCCACATTGCTTCATTGGCCTAGTCAGCAAATCTATAAATATATTATAAGTTTGTGGGAGCGACTGCATGATATTTATAAGTCTATACATGGCAGTTGTCAAGAATAAAGTTTTTCATACGCGGGTTGCCATTTCCATTTAGCATAAGCAAAGACAGCAATATACGTGTTTGGGATCTTCGTTACTACACTTGTAAACAAAACATAAACGGTAGAAACGTTTGTCTTGGTCGCCTTGACATCACCAGCGCGTACTTTCACGAAGGACACAAAGAACTGGCAATAGGCACTAACAAGTAAGTTACTATTACGTATAGATGCGACGCATATGGCCGAACGTGGTATGCAAATTTTTCCACTTCTTGCGATTCGAAGGTGATCCAAATAAGCAAAAAAAAATAAAAAATCATAATTATGATATCAAAAATTTAGATTGTCCAAGATTTTAAAATTTATTATTCATATATCATTCATAGATTTAAAATCATGTGGTTTTGATGAAAAAAAATACTAAATTTCAAGATTGTCTTTGAAAACGTGAAAGATTTAAAAAGGCTTTGCTGTGCACTACTCCTTATCGACGGTCGATGTTATCATTATTAAATTAAAAAATTTACAAAGTGATTCTCATGTTATCTGAAGTTTATAATGCTACAAATTAATAACGTTAAAGGTCTCCGATTTTATTGTAGGATTGGTATATTTTCCCCGAAGAATTCTATTCGAAGTAGCACAAATCGAAAACAAGCTACAAGTCACCAAAAGGCAGTCACGTGTGTTTTATACAACAAGCTCTTTCACCAGGTATACTTGAAAGAGCCATATTTGAACCTTGACACATAATTGGCATCCCCGTTTCTCCACGAGGGTCACTGGAAAGCCGAATGCTACGTCTAGTAAAGCTTAATATTTATATCCTATTTAAACAAAGCAGGGGTCACCAAACTATATATATTTCTGCGGACCGACTGCAAAATGTGCCATATGAATAATTACCTAAAACTACAATCAAATACATATTTGTATGAATAAGCACTTATTAGTCGTACATTCTACAAAATGATTGAACGAACATACAGATAAATTGTAACAGATTGTTACCGGTGGCGAAGATTCGATGGTTTGTATGTGGGATATGAACAATGGAAAGAAAACAATGCAGTTTTGTGCAGAAAGGGGAGTTGAAATCACATCTATGACCTTTGACCCAACGTGGCGACGGCTAGTCACAGGTAATGAGAGATAGATGATTTGCGCAAATCATGGGTTTATCATGAATTCCACTTTACATGCTTAATATAACCACATATGCAATACTTAAAAAATCAACGTACTTTGATACATTCGGTTTTTATATTGTCTGAATATCTGTCGCATCATCCTAAAATACACGTTCAACTATCTTTAATTACTTATAAAGACTGATACAAAATACTATTTTATTTATCGTGTATATCACCAGGATTGCGGAATGGTGCAACAATGTTATGGAATTTTAACAACGGTGCATGTCTTCGGCGATTAACACGTTCAGATGGGCTTGAAATATCTGATATCATTTTTTCAAAGCAAAGAATTGTGACAGCCGGATGGGGAAAGCAGCCTGTTGTTTATATGGATTCTTACTCAGACGATGAGTGCTTTACGCTTAATCGAAAACATGGTGACGACATCATGTCGTTGGACTACCACAGGTTTAAAGAATAACTGTAGATGCTGTGTGACAAATTTTGAATTGTGGCCTAATTTTCTATGTTGGTTAACAGTTGTGTAAACATAGCAAACAGCTGTAGTCTTGGAATGCACTTCAGAATAAAAATCACTCCTTTTCAGGCATGAGGCAATACTGGCTTCATCTGCGTACGATGGTGATATATATTTGTGGTCACTCGAAACGAAAGACGTTCATGTCGCTTTCAATATGCATAAAAGTTTGTTACCGATGCACATTGGAGGATCGAGAAAGAGAAATGGAGAAGATGAAATGAATATCACAGATCACAAGACTGGGTCCTTCCCAGGTCTACACAAACAGCAGAATTCTTCCTGTATTAGTGTAAACACCAGCGACGAAAATATTGGGGTCGCAAATGAGTGTTCACGGAAGCAACGCAAAAAACGCAAAGAGTCAAATAGGTCCATAAAAGAAAGTAAGTGCAGTACTAAGAAAATTAGTACATAGTAATGCCAAATAAATTTCCGAGGCATCCAATCTCCATAACAGATGTCAAACTATGTTCTAAAATGGTTTATTTCGCAGTTAAATATTTCTATGATTTAGCTGCAGCAAGCATCAGGTAAAATCTAAACACGAAAGCAATGCTCAAATATATGAACATGGAGGCCAAAACTAATTTTTTTACCAACAATGTCCCGAAAATCATATCCTGAACGCAGCTGGAACTGCTATAGTACGGCAACTTACAACTACAAGTACCTGTATCAGGGTACCGGTATCGGCACCCGGACTGGCATTCTAGCTTTTCCAGGTCACGTATCGATGATGACTCAGGCTTTCAGTTCCAACGTGAATTGAAATACCAAACGATACGAATCACAACCGTAGTATTAAATCTTTTACACTTACAGTATCGGTACCGTAGTCTACCGATCCACACAAAAACATTTGTTTAGCAAGAGATCGAGTGGGGTCGCAAAACCGCTACAACTAATTTTTAATTTTGTTGACGACATCACACAAAACGTCAAAATGAAAAACAAATCCCATAGAGCACACCAAAATATTTAAAATAAATTAAAGTAATAGTCTTCTAGCGACAACAACAATCACTACCACTGGAAAAGCAACTGGTTCAGTAGTTAAATGGAAAAGCCATTTTTTCACAACAACAACAACAACAACATAATAACAAAATGATCCACACGTCATCCAAACTTTGTGTCAAAAAAGTATTTACAAAATGACTATGTAGAGGAGGACCAAGGCACAAAATGTTTATTGCTACAATTGATAGCAAGTTTACAACTTAAAATATTTTGGTTACAGAAACACAGATAAAAGAAATGAATGCAAAATTCACAGCTAGTGGGACTGAAATAAATAGCGCAGATATTTGGCTTCCGAACTCCATGCCATGGATTCGAAAACAAAATCAGAAGCATACATCAAAACGTAAGTACAATATTGATATACTTGCTCTGAAATAAATATTTATATATAAACATCAAAGTTATTATTTCACATTCACTTGTATAGGCGTACACTTCGATGACTCAGACGAAGACGACATTCAAATTGAAGATGAATCGTCATTTGAAATAACAGACAAAGCTGTTTACAAGCTTTTATTTTTACAAGCAAGTTATATAAATATTTTGCATTTATGGCTTAGACGTAAAATTTAAAAAGTACTGCGGTTAAACATCAGTTTTCCCGTTGTATAGACACTTTACAAATCATATCACGAGAGCATAAAATTGGTACCATTATATATTTGTGCATGTTCCTATTCAAGTATCAGACCTGAAGTAAACCTACTGCTGGAAATGTCCACTAGGGAACGACCAAATCGACTCACAACTTAAGTCACAAGCACACCAAAAAAAAATAGCGCATGTCTGATTATATTACACTGATGATTGTTTATGATGAAAAAATAGAGATTTCCACCATTATCATTATTGTCGAAAATGGTAACTGGCCTACAGGGAGTAAATATAGCAATTCAATACATCCCAATCGCATTCGTTTTCAAAATAATATTAGAAGTGTGGAATAAAAGAGCTGTTAGAATATGACACTAAGATTTCATGGAGTGTTGAATCACCAATTTGTAAAGTGTCTATCGAGTGCTAAACGAGTCCTGTCCACTTCTAAGATATATATAACAATATAACCAATCAAAGGACATAAGCCGTTCTCCCACTTAGCGTCTCATTGAATAAATAACCATTAACGATTCTCACAAAAGCTACAACCTAATTTTTTTTAACTTTTTAAAAAAAATAGTTTCAGGATTTTTTCACTATTAACTGTTCCGTAACTGTTAGTTATTATTATAGTGTTGATGCACACGCTAAGCATAATAATTTCTCTTTGAAAATAGACTCGAAACAACAGCGATACATCGGCTATATTAATTGCATCAAATGACAATGGATGGATTACTGCCTGGTCGTTGAATACAAGAGGGGGTTTGTTGGCATACTTTCGCGCCACAAAACAGGTTACTTTCTTTGAATTTAAGCTGAAATGTCGTTTGCGTCAACTAATCCTGCAGTATAAAACAGATCGAGTACAACACTAATCTCAGTTTGTACTCGAGAAATATTTCAAAGTATGTGTAACAATTACAAAAAAGCTTACTAAGATAAATCTTTCAGTATTAGTTATACTATATATGCCGCAATTGATTAATCTAATCTATTTCCTACTCGAAACTGATAAATAGTGAAAAAGCTTTGAATTAAAAAAAAAATTCTTTGTCGACAAGGAAACGGGCATGGTAATCAGCATGGCAACTGATTCAGAGGATCGTATATTGATAACTGGAGATAGCAAAGGATACATACGAGTTTGGCATATTGAAAATTACTGCAACGGTGGTGACGTCATATTACACCGAAAAATACAAGATCAAAAAAGAGTGAGAATGCTATTAGAATTACATAAGTAATACGTTAGGCCATTACTCATTCAACAAATATAGGCAACCGCGGTCACAAATGACAGCGATTGTGCCGTGAAAACTGTGAGCTTGAATCCGATCGAAGACAAGCAACAAAGCCCAGCGAAAATCAGTGTCGATACGATTTTTGGGGTGTACGTACTACCTATTTTAATTGGCTAAGACTATTTTTTTTATGTCAGCGTTTAACTGTATTATCCCGATTAATTTTTAATATGAATTCATACGCTGTATGAAAAAAGGCCATGGTATGGAGCAAATTTGCTGTCCAAAGTTTATTGAAGCTAATGTTACTCAGTTATTTATAGAATAATATTCTAAATCATCTATTTGGCGGAATGTGAATATCTGAATTTTTTGAGTGAAAATTACGCAACTCATTTCTTGTATGAAGGCAAATACACGTAAGGTAACTATATAAGCTCCATCTCTTAACAAAATCCGTTCTATTTCATCAACATGCAGATGCACCGAAACGAGCGTGAAAGAAACTCGATGTATTTTCAACCATACATGCCAATCACCGAACCTCCTCAACTTCAAATGTCAGTGATGGGCCACACTAAAGCAGTAACATCAGTGGCATTTATTGAACGCCATGGTTTGATAGCGTCAGGAAGTGTTGACTGCAGCGTTCGGCTATGGACAATAACAGGACGATATATTGGCACATTTGGACAAAAGAATCTGTGGTCTCTTGAATTCCCAATCGTGGTAACATTTTATTTTTATTTCATCCAAATGTCTTGAAAATTACTAATGGGACTTGTTGAATAATGTAATAGAAATTCCACAGATCGGCCGCTACCTGTATAATATCAGAGGAAATTGTAAAAAGGAAAAAAGTAACACATTAAAAACCGAGAAAAAAAGAATCAAAATAATGTAATAGAAATTCCACAGATCGGCCGCTACCTGTACTTGCGTGTGGGGCATAAAAATTTTACGAAATCATGGCAGTATAGTGAGTTTAGTGACCAACAGTTTATACAGCAAAGTGAAAGTAAGCAACGAAATCACCCTGGGAAATCGTAAAGCTAATAAAAATCATTAAACATTTATAGAAAGCCTCAACAAATATCAATTTTCAATGAATAGTTCACTCAATTTGACTTTGATTTTACCACAATTACCCAATGTTTATTTTCCCAAACTACAAATGTTATGAATTATGGCGACGTTTTACGATCAGTGAAATTTTGAATGGAAGTTGTTATTGATCTATCCGGCGCCTGTTACCACGCTATCGCAATCTTATTCGTAAATTGTTAAGTATTTGATAAATCTGTACGATTTTCATTTGTTCTCTGAAAGCCCCAAAATTTACCGACGGGAATACCAGAAGACATAAGGAGATGTGCATCGACTACTACGTTAAAGACGATGAAAGGCGGATATCACGCGCAATGGAAGCAAGTGAAAAACGCAGTTAATTTTTTCGTTAAAGCAGGAAGAACTCTACAATTTTTCAAACCAGCTGGGGAACAGGATGAGAAAAAGAGGAAGCTTTCTGTTCGTAATCGTTTTGATGAAGTTGATAAAGAAATATTGGAGGTGTGGTTCAAGTTAAGGCAAAATCATTCACAAAGTACACAAAATCATACATCTATTTTATCCTAAGAGTTAGTTTCAACTTCATATAATGAAATGAAGTGTGGAGGATTGTCCGGAAATCTTTCCTATTTTAGTTAGCGATGTTCATATCCAAGTATCTGAAATTCTCAATCTCAACTGTGCGCTGAACAATTACTCACCATAAAAGTATTTATTGATTATTTGAATTCATAAATTCTTAAAATAATTCTTTGAATATATATTTTCATTCAGGAATCAACGAAAAAAACAGGTACCAGAAGAAAGAGTGTCACAGTATGGTTGTCGGATGTACCTCACGCTATTTCTGTCGTGAAAAAGCCGGATGACAAGGTGATCTATGAATGGCTAGAGGACATTGGATTAGTATTGCGTTTTTATATGTTGAAAATTCTTTATATTCGAGCGTAGGATAGGGCAGGATTTTCGTATTATTGAAAATATTGGCATTTAGGAATAAACTCTGAACATAGCTTATGGCTCATTTATTTACCTTTGTCTGTTATTGACATACGCTCTCATCGTCGTTATAGTGAAGCGCTTACGACGCAAGTTTTTTGTTTCTATTGCTAACAATATCCAGTACACTATAATAAAGTGGCTAGTATGGAAAATATTATCACCGGAATGAGCACGGTACGATCTAGGCATTCTATTCAGCAGCAAAATGACAGTATGTACATTTTGATGACACTAACAAATGTCGGAATGAACTCCCCATTTAGTGCAGAATGCAATTCCTATTATATTCACTTTTTAAAAACTCGTCTTCGACACACATGATAATTTTAGTGGTCCATATAATACAGATTACAATTATTTATGGAAAGGCATATTTACATTGAATAAGCTTCAGGCGCGTATCGTTTTTTCGCGACGAAAAAATTTAGCAACCTTTAAAAACTATTCATTCATATTTTATTTCAAATTGTATTCAAGTTATGTATCAGTGCGCATTAAAAATTTACAGGTTGAAAACAGTTTCTTGCGACTTCAGAATGAAGGCATTCGAAGTTCTATTCTCGGTAAAATAAATTATAAACCAAAGAAGAGACATCGAGAAAATGGAATTAGCAAACCAATCACGTAAGCTGAACAACGTGTGAGGCATGGGGAATTGAGAATTGAGTAACTGTGCAATTAGATAAACTAATATCTGATTGTACGAATTTTACTTGATATGAATATGCCAAAACACTACATCTGTTCTAACACAGAACATAGCATGATTGCCACTCCTTATTCTTACTTTATCCTTTACCCACAAGGCAACAAGTGGGCGACAATTTTGAGGCACGATATGGTCTGCTAACTGCAGAAAATGAGAAAATGCAATATACGTCTGTAAGCTATAAACCATTTCACTTACCTACAGGTATAATTAGTAACGTTAAATAACTGGAATTCATAATATGACAAAGTTAGTCTTCGATTATGAATAACATCAAAAATACTACAGAAATTTATGATTTCATTGCGTCGTACATCACCAGCATCACCTGCGCCGAGACTTCACTTTCTAATATTGTATTGCTTTCAGATGGTTTAATCAGCATGCGTCGGTGTACAACACATTGCCGTATTCTCACTTATCTGCCACGTTGGAGCCCACGTTACCGGACTATATCAAGCGTGCAACATCTGCTTCCAATCCTAAACCCAACGACCCAGCGAATGCATTACATTGCGCTATGCTAAGTAAGAAAGCGGGATCAAACTGGCAAAGACGAAGCAATAAATCAACAAAGGATACTGATTCTAAAGTCAAAGTTGGTAACGGATCGAATACAACAGACCAAGGCGGCTCGTCCATATCTACCGAGATAAAAAATCTCCTTCAGAGTTCCAAATTACCGCCGATAGGATCGGAAATTTTACTCAAATCGGCAAAGTCTAGGAGGAAAACAAAGCATGCTCCTTTCGCACTTCCCAGCATTGCCACGTAATATTGTGGTGGGACATGTGTTCTTAAATTGCATTAAGGTGCGACAGCGCCAAAATCATTGAGATACGAAATAAAGTATATTTATAAAATAGCGATATATTTCTTGGTTTTTCTGGGTATGGCGTGAGTGACTAGTTCCCGAGGTAGCATGGTATATCATTGATCAAGGAAAGCTATTCTACATAAGTCCGAAGAACAGCCAGAATAAAATATTTGCAATCCCCCTTTATTGAGTTATGTTAAGCGCAATACTTGGTGGCGTTTTTACCGAAATTATTGCGAGCAACTGTACAATAAGCAAGGGCTAGCTATGAATATTTCGAATGACAGAAAACTTTCGAATAAGGAAGGTTATTCTTCAACCCAAGTCATGGGTTCCAAAGTATATAAAATGATCCGAAGTTAGTCTAGTTCAATTATCGATGAAAATAAAAAAGCGTCCCAAGTATGTGGTGTTTGCTCATACAATGAGACAGATTAGCGTGAATATCTGAAGCAATTATGTTTACAAAGCGAAAGAAAGCACCACCAATTGGAAATGTACCTAAGACTGTTTTCAATTCTAAAATAATTCTACAGTAGGGTGATAGCTGATAGGAGTAAACTTTGCGACCGACAATAGCCGCATGGTTATCAATCTTGGGGCGTAAGTCATATCCGAGGGTGTGGAGCCATAAAAAATGCAAAGATGGATCTTTTATCATCACAAATTTATATAGAAACTAAATCTAGGCGGCAGGAATATAACTTTATAAGGTATCATCTATACAGCAGTAGTATAGACACTTTTAACACCAAATTGATTATTAAATAGTCTAGAATCATAACAGAAGACCAATTAAAGACGTCATAGTTCTGTTTCAGTGGAAAATCCGGTGATTTCAACAGGTGAATTTTGGTACCCGCATTGACAACGCCAGATCGACCTTAACGCTTGTTCGCATGTTGTTTATTGCGATTTTAAATTACGGTGCTTGTCCGATACCATTAAAATGACTTGAAATATCTCACCACCCCGCCTGTATTGACAATGGTCATGTATGGTGTGAACTTAAGGGACAGTCGAGCCGCACCTTTATTTAACATGGGCTTTCTATAGTACTTGCATGCTCAAAAACTAGTTTGTTTTTTAGGTTGAGATGTTTTCAGTTTCTCCAAAACCGCCAACATTTGTTTCCAAATACTTTGCTGTCAAATCGATCTTCCTCTAGACTAGATTTAGAAAAAATCAACTGATATGCTGAAACCAAAACTCATTTATCTTCTATATCACTCAATGGTAAAATATTTCAAACTTCTCTCTAACTGCTCAACTTTGAATCGTCCGTTCTTACTAATTTATTAGCATCTGTTCTGCACTTTACTACAATTGATCGTTGCTCAGCAAGTGACAGCTTTGTGAATCGCAACGTTCGCTTTGCCGAAGCTATCTGGTGGGTCTTTGTAACGTCATAGGTTTATAGATAATAAATTGGACTTGGGTACAGTATGCTTTGCGACGCAAAAAGGATTGGAATTGCTCGCATGTACCAGATTAAACAAAATTAAAACTTCGGTTTCGCGGGCCGCACACCATTCAAAATTGGCAATTCTCCGCGGGCCGCACAATTTATTTCTTGTGGAGCGCATTTGGCCCGCGGGCCGCAGTTTAAACATCCCTGATATAGATAATACAATATCGTAGTGTGCACGTGTACAGCGAATTAGTTCAATAACCATATTGAAAATGTTAGCACGATCGTGTAGTTTTATATAACTGTTGTGTTATAATTGCATTCAATTAGTACGTATTGCATACTGATTAGTAACTCGCCAAAATGAGGAAGTTGTGATGAACGATGCGTGGTGCTCATCAGTGTGCAGGGCAGTTGTTAATTCATGGTTTGAGTGAGTGGTACTGTTTGAGTTGTAATTGACACGTGTATGTCTATGTTATATGACGAAAGAGTGTGGAGTATGAAGACTTAGCAAATCTGTGTGGTCTTTCTTGTATCGAAGATACATACAGATAGCACGCTCCGACACCTTGCTTTGTCACTGACAGTCGGGGTGATCACTACAGGTAGTATATAGATGAGAGGGAGAGACGATATTGGGCTCGAAGGATAAGACCAGCCCACATGTAGCATGTTGAGAAAAAGTTAGGAAGAGCCACAATGTAAGGTATAGTTTAGTTAACTCTAATGGCTAACAAGTACAAGAAAATACTTAACGACAGGGGTGTGCAACATTTTTCTGGTAGTTGGCCATATAACCAACTTCAGACATCTGTCTGGGCCACATAAAAAATTAGGCTACTAAACTGCTTCGAATTGTAGAAAGCTGGTGGCTGGGAGGTGCCAAACGACCACAGTGAGGGATTTTTACGTAACAATATACTATTATAAACAAGCGTTATAAAAACCAGCAGCAACGGAATACATCAGCGGCAACCAGATCGCCGTGGGGAAGGCAAGAAAAGTGAAGTCGCTAGTGCTATCGCTTAGCCTTAAATTGAGAAAGGCAACGTTTAAAACGGCGAAAGATTTAACACAGCGACAAGTGCAAAAAACATTATGTATTTTTACCCATGTGAGCGACTTTTTAAACCAACTGTTGGATTAGGATTATATACTTGATGCATAAAAATCGTTGTGTTGACAAGGGCCACACTAAACGTTTGGCGTGTTGGGTTGTGGCCGGCGCGCCGCCTGTTGCACGTCATTGCTTTACAGTGTTTGTGATATAATTTCACCAAGAGTACAATTTTAATGCACAGTGTTATACAAGCAGACTGTTTGGTCACTAAACCTGGGAATTTAAACTACCCTGAATGTCCCGCCAAAACTAAAACGCATTCCCGTTATTCACTGCGTTAAATGAAACGACAAACGAATTTGAGCGGTGAAATTGCAATCCAACAGGTAATAAAACGCAATACGCAAATAACAGATGTTAGTTAAGATACAATTGCATGAAATAGATCCTAGGGTTGAAGTATTCACGATCAAGCTTTGACATTTAATACAGTACATTTTTCATTCCTGCACACGCAATGTATTTGAGACCAAGTTTGGAGAAGGATTGGATTACCTACTATGCTATATAGGAGACAGAACGACGCATGAACAGAATAATTTGACCGTTAGTTCGGAAGTGAGAGATAAAGGCGTTGTCTCAGATGTACTTCTAATAGCAAACACCTCAACCTCGGAAGGTTGTTCAGATTACTTAATTTTGAGTCGATTTTAGTGGCGTTTATGGATCTAATTTGAAAATCATGAGCCTCGCTATGGAACAGTCCAATGTAACATTTGTCATGGTAATTATTTTCAAAAAGACGAATTTCGTTTTGTCACAGATCAAAAATATTATGACGTTACACGTTACGACATTTAACGATTTCAAATACGGAAAAACCTTCTTCTGGATTAGAAATTTAGTTTATGCAGACGGTATAGCAGACTGACGGTTATTCATCTCTACGAACAATGGCTATGGGCTTCAGTCAAATAAATTGGGCAAATATTTCAGTATAATAGAAACCATTCCTTAGATATTGACTGTGGGACATTAAATTCGACATTCTCAAAGAAATGATTTAAGGGACTATTCGATTTTCTTAAGCATACAATAGAACTATCCTGAGTATATTTTCTTCTTATAAACCCACCATAAATTTTTATTGCCGAAACAACGATTCCTTATTTTTAACTAGGAAATATTGATGATATAGGCCATGACGTAATTGAATAAAATGAATTTGATCTTAAAAGATTCCTATATTAGAATACCAAGTTTTTGTTGAGAAATTTGCCAAATGTCACATATTGCCAGGTTTTATTCTATAAACCCACCATTAAGATTTTATAATGTAAATTTCCATTGCCGACATAGCGATGTCACATCTCACATATATATCGCCAGGTAAAAATAAATCAGTACTATATATAGTAGACAGTATTCTCGATATAAGAATAGGTAACAATAATTACAAGAAGACACATTCAGAATAATTATTATGCATTCCAATACATTCCTGTTGTATCGCCAGCGTGTAAAGTTGGAAACTTGTATCAATAAGCTATTACCGTATAATGAGTATCTTTTTGATTGATGACCGCATTTCTCCCGCGATTACGTTTTAACTTTAATATTTGTTTAAATAGCGCAGTCACCTATGCTGTCAAAGAACATATTGATGGTTCAAAAACTCTCTCTGAAGCTTAAATCTAAAATAACAATCACTTACCTGACAATTACTCTGAGTGCTCCAAGAGGCGTTACCAATATAGCTGGTGCGATAGAATATGCAACAAAATTTAAAACTTCTCCCAAGGCCACTGCAAAATTATAGCAAAACCAAATTTACTTCGAAAGAAAGAAGGAAATTATTAAATATTAAAAGTAATAATTTTAAATGTAAATCGATAGTCAGGGAATTACTATAGTTATTGAATGTAATTTAATATATATATCCACACTCTTACAGTGGTTAATATTCTTTCCCAGAATAGAGCAAAGTTAATTCAAGTAATATGAATAAAAAAAATCACTTATCGATTCTGATTACTATCGTTCAGGTGAAAAAAGATCTTACTTGCGCCCATTCCACACCACCACATCCATTGTGTCAGATAGGAAAATTCTCCAAGTGATCCTAAAGAGAAAAAAACAGAATGTCAAACATTTTCTCTAACAGCTCCTTGGTATTTTCGGTAATTCTCCTCTACATTTTAGCGGTGAACGATACATGATATTACCGTTTCTGGTATGACCATGATGATTTATTCAAGCTTGATATTTGTTGGCTGGCCATCTATGGCTGGCAATTGAGAGAATTGTGGAACGCGGACATCACGCTAAGAGTTGCATTTTTATCTTACGTATTCCAGATTCAATAATATGTTTTATGGTACAGATGTTGTATACGCGATTATGTGCGAAAGTCGTTGACAAATGCATCGGTTTTGGTAACAGTTTGGTCGAAGTAGTCGGTGATTGTGAACCGTGATTGTGAACCAAGTACACATTAACATGAAGAAGTATTCCATTAGTAAAGAATATATTCTGAATTTGAGACGTTGTATTGCAGTCATAATAGGATGACAGTAAACGATCAGATGCAATTTTGGACTTGAATCGATTCAGTCTATTTCCCGACAAAGACAGTTAGTAAGATTATATTCAGGATTGCTGAGTGTGACAAAATTAGATTGATTTAAAGTCGGAATATCAGAACAGACAACTAAACAGAAATAAAAGGTTATGTGCAATTTTAGGTGCTCACGAAGTATTCGTACCAAGATGGCGCACAACCTGAACATAGTATGTGTACCAGGTTAGGGTTGTTCAGGTTGTGTGTCATCGTGGTACGAATATTTCCGGAGCGGCCAATTTTATGTGCAAACAAGGTTGGGCCAGACTGATAAATTTTAATTGAAAACATATCATTGTGTCCTTTGTCGATTTCCAACACAATGGCGGGAAATGCGTTATGGGATTCTAGCTTTGTGATATTAAACTCACAACTAACAATGTATTCGTGTGCGCATACCTATACGTAAGTCACATACAACCTTGCGAATTGGCCGTTACATGATACAAATGTATCAAATTACAGGTTGATATCAGGATTCACAGAAACAAGTTCTTGCGCGAATCAAAAGGAAACGCTAAGCTGGGAAAACAGTCCATGCGAACCGTAGGATGTCATCGGCTACGGCCTATAGGGGTCCACGCCACGATCGGTATGAAACGTTATTTTGACGTCAATCAAACGCTTTAAGAACTGAGTCATCGTGTTTGGTTCGTACTCCGAAGTGGTCTTGTTAATCAAATGGGTTAAATAGCATTGGTCTATGGCAAAGATGCCGAACCTTTCTCACTGAAAATGTCACATATAATATTTTTATTCTGAATAAAGGCTTAGGCTTACTGTTGATAACGTTAATGTTTTCGAAGATTTGGCAAAATTTTGAGAAGTAGAATAATGTATATTCCTAAAAACCTTATGTGCCCTCCGGTTCAGGTACATCCGGAAAGAAACAGATGTTCTGACAGAAGGGGTCGCGGCATATAGGTACTTCCCTGTTGAAGACGCCAGAAATTAAACCAGCAGGCACTACTGTAAATTGTAATGGTTTTTTATCGCTGAAATGTTCACCCGAAGCAAGTTCATTGCTGAGCGTAATCATTCAATCAGTAATTTAGATTATTACAATGCGGTTGCGCCTGAGCTTTCCCGAAACTGAAAGATTACGACTTTCAAAACCAGCAAGTCTGGGACAATGCGGTCTGGACAAAAATAAATTTCAAGTTCTCGTAAATTTGTTGGTAGTGAACTTCTAATATCACAAAGCATTCACAAACCTCACCCTATAATTAGCGATAAAAATAGGCCCTTCGTGTTTCTTTGCTACATCTTATAAATAATGAATAGCGCAGTGGGTGTGTCAAACACGCCTCTAAATCGTTTGACGGTTGAGTTCGAAAAGTAGACGGTCGTGGTTTTACGCCGCATTTTTTGTTCAAATTGGAGGCCAATCAGCATACGTACGCTGTTTAAAAGTACCTCAATACCGTTCAGGCTGATTATCACTTGTAGATACTTATAAATCTAACTGGGAAGTTCAACTTTATAATCCAGTACTTTATCACTTCATTTAATTGTACAGATATGATAAAACGCCGATGTGACGTCTCAATCATACTGTGGTCTCTAATTTATCGTATCGTTTAGTAATAAAGTATCTCTCGTATCGTAACAAAGCTGTCAATTGTTCCAGATGCGTGAATTCAAATTGAGAATGTTGTGTAAAGATATTACGATTTCGTTATGTTATATACATCACATCGCCAATGGTGAATTCCATAAAGCAATTGTTTTAATTCGTTCAATATGCAACCATGGGTAAATTTGGGATTTGTTTCTAGCGTTGAACCACATAAATCCAATTCGTTCCGTAAAAGAACAATTAGTTTTACGAATTGGCGGTTTAATTCCAGAGCTCAAAATGCAAAGGCAGTTATCAAGCGTTTGTGGATGATGAACCCGATTCGAATGTGGCGAAAATAGCTTTTTTTATTCAAACTGAAGATAGCAGTTGAGTATAAGTTAATTTACTATCTTACCAGTTCTGACGAAAGAAGCTTTTTTTTTCTTGGCTTCGGTTTTGATCAAGGCTTTCTTTTGGAATATGAAGCTTAATCCAACTAGGAACGCAGCAGAAACAGCAAGCATGACTCCATAAAACGGGTGGCTTATGTGTGAATTTGTGTCCATATTGTGCGCATCGCCTCCTTCTAATTCGATATCATGTATTATTGGATGATCATCCATAGCTTGCGTGTTTGAAACGACAATCACTCCTCTTCTTCCAATTCTAGATTGCAACTCAGTGGCAAGATCTTCTACGAGAGACGCTTTACAGGTTATAGACTTTATATCCGGATAAGTATTATTTAGAAATTCGCTAATCCGTGATATTCTGTTTTCTAATTCCAACCAGAAGTTGACGCTGTTGGATAAATCTGACGAGTCAGTCACTGGTACTACAACACGGCGAGCCTCCTCGTGAACTGTTTCACCGCGTGCGGAATTTACAGTTACTAAAGCTCTGTTCGCATCGATACCAGACACCTGAAGTAATACATTAACAGCCTCTGTCGTAGAAGCCCTTTCTCTCGCAAACACCGGGCTATCGGTGATCACCAAGGTGTAGTAAAGTTGAAGCAGTGTGCACACAACTCGAGTGGTATGAATCATGCTCGTCTCACTTTTTCTCTTCGGATAATTAGTGAGTGGCTGATGTTTGTGCGAAGAGGAGTGCTATATTGGCAATAAATAGCTTTGAAGTATGTTATTTCGTTTTCAGTAATATGTTATATATATGTTCGTATATTATAAGCCAATTTACCATTAAGTTAGTCCTCAATTAAAACAATCGCACAGATTCTGCAATGAAACTAATCCACTGTATAAACATGATCGCAACTACTTTTGATAATATGTTTATGCATACTCCTAAATATTTGGCAATTTCACAATATATCTGTATATTAAGTAAATGAAATATAATCATCATTTAAAAAAAGTGTTTGAAAAAAACATAAAACAAATCGATGCTTCCCTGAAACCATCGCGATGATTAACCGATTATTAATTAAAAAAGATCCATTGCAGTAAAACGGTTGTTTTAAGTTTTTGTTTTATTTTTGGTGGTTATTTTTATATAGGCAGGTATAATGTTCAGCCAACCTTTGAAAGATCATATCGATAATTCAATGAAAAATAAAATGCTACACTTTACAAGACACTCCAGTTGTTATTATTTGATAACAGGGCCGGACAAATTAGCAATTCATTAACGAAAAAGCGCCACGACGACGATACTGATAAATTTCTTCTATTTCATACACTATATATTTCATGCACTGAAGTTGAAAACTATAATACAGCAATGCCAAAGACTGGTTTTCAAAATTTGGAGAGTTATGCTCAGGAAACCCAGCTCGGATTTTACGTGCATATTACTTACGGATGTACGTATATAATTCTCAATTTTTCGTATATAATCTCTCACATTTGTTGGACCATTCAAAATGTTAAGAAGTTTTACAAACATGTAATCATATAAATGTTTATTTGCAGTACCAATGGGCCTAAAATATCATTTGAATAACAACATCATTAAAATATTTCTTATCAAAATACAAAGGTTTGCGATATTTCCCTCGTAATCATTGCTTCTTTCAAAATTGTGACAAAAACGGTATTAAAGCACATTTAACTAGCATTTATCACTAATTTTCATAGGTCATATATAAAGGAAAACGATTACCATACGTTTGTTATTGTTTGCAAACGAATATTGTAATAAACAATAAAAATGTAACTGCGTGTAATGTAATGTAACAGAAAATGACTTTTTTCAGCGCTAAAAGATTGAGTATTTATAAGAAAGTACTTAACTACCCATCCTTCTTCTATGCTTTTTACGGATGGATCTGTATGCATGTAATGCAAGGATGCTGTAGCCAGAGTAAAGATAACTATCCTAAGTGATTCAAGTCTCTTGCTGCACACTAACACAAATATATTTGCGTTTTCTTGAATCACTCAAAGAAAATTGACAGTAATATGATGCTTTACTAAATAGAATCAGATTTGAAAATAATTACATCCCCACTGCCAGCAACCAACCAATGAAAAGTATTTATAGCGAAACACCATTATGCTCAACTGAACGTAATCGAGTGTTGAATAACAGGCAATATGGAGAAAATAGAACCATCGGTCCCGGGATTGAAGATTGTCTAGGCCGCAGGGGTTCTCAACCTTTTTTCTGCTGAGTACCCCCCGAGTCACGACACAATTACGAGAACCCCCGGTAATCAGACACCAAACAAAGTTGTGATATGTTGACTAACAATTTGCTGCAGCAACAATTTATTAACCAACTGCTGTAACTAAATTAAATCTTCGCGTTAATTTGATGTTATTGTCGCCTAACCTAACTAATGAATTCTAGAAAATCTCTCTCAAGTTTCAATAACCATATCACTTTTTGCAATGCCTGCAGCACACTGTCTTTTGAGATTTCACAGTTTGCCTGCAAAGCCGTGAATTTAACATTGTTGCGTCACAATCACAACAACGCAAGATCAGGGAAAATATACCCTGAGTTTCAATTGGTACGCATTTTCCTCTGGTAGTAATAAAGATATTTCAAAAAGCAACACATGAAAACTAGACTGTCATCCAAGTACCCCTGGAAATCTCCTCGTGAACCCATGGGAGTTCGCAAACCCAAGGTTGAGAGCCCCTGGTCTAGGGTAACAAATCTAAATTAATTTATATTTTGGTTTTGTTATGAATATGATTTTCCAACTCAAAAAAAATCGTACAATAAACATATTAATATAATATCCAATTTCCCTCTAATTCCTAAAATGATGATTTTCACACAGTTACTATAATCCCATTTATCTAATGAAAATCGGTGGTCAATATCGAATAAAGGGATTCGTCAAATTGTGGAGAAATCACGTTAAGGTTGCTAATTAAACCAGTAAAAGTTCCATTCCCATTGTAATTTTACATACATGGTTGAATATTTGACCAATCATTAAGTCAGACCAGCAGTGCTTTAATTTTTGCTTCGCCGTCTTGTCCAACCATTTTTGTAAAATTAATTCCTGTTGATAATTGATAGGCGACTTTGGCCATTTTGCACCAAAATAAATATAATTGTGCCTGACGACACTGAAAAATACGAGATTCGACTATGAAGATTTCCTCGACAAATTGGGTAACTTCTAAACTCGAAATGAAGTTGTAGCCTACAACCGTTTTTATCCTTATCTAACAATAGTTACCCTTTCAACGCATTTTAATGCTTCTGGTCTGATATGTTTTTGCCAAGAGAACTCGATTACATTGTCAGTTCTTTACACAAATATTGCTTTAAACTTCCCCACTTATGTAAGTATATATATAAAGCTACCTGACCCATGTAGTAAAATTAGACCTCAAATACCAAACTTTATGAGAGAGTTGCTTTATACCGGGATGTACAAACCATAAATATGCGATGGATGTTACATCGCATGCGTGCATGTTTTATTGGTTACTTAATACATGTTTTACAAGGCACCGCGGGTACAAAAGTACACTTTCGGCGTTTCATAGTTTGTATCGAGTTTTGTAAGTTATATACTCAAAGACGATTTAGCTATAGCCTACATTTATCATAGGTTTTTGTCCTTATTTGTTGCGATTATTTTTTTATCCGCTTGCACTGTTGAGGACACATCTTGCGCAGTGAGATGCGCAGCTTTCTTCGAAGGATTCCATTCAAATGATGATTTAACAAACTGCTTTACAAATTCTTGGGTCTAATATTTTTGCCGCCGGTTCGTCCAATCTAGTATAATTCTAACACAAATGTTGTAACAAAACAAAATTTTGATACAATGATTGCAACTAGTATACATTCATGAAAAATCATTCAACAATTCTACAAGTGTAGTCAGCAGTGTCATGGGTCTTAAATCACAATAATATGTGTGTGGCATATAGGCAATGCGGAAAGTTTCCCTACGTACTGTAACAGGGATGGCGTACGATTTTTACTATGTGCATCATATATACTTTTTTCCATAAATTAAAGGAATGTGGGTTTCAAATTAAATCAATAGGTTCAGGACAGGGCCCAATATCGAGTCTAGACCAGTGGGTCACGACCCCCAGTGGCGTCGCGAGAGTTTTTCCGGGGTCGTCTGACTTCCGCTGAACATGCAATACGGCGCACACAAGTCACATAATTTAAAAATTAGAAGTGAAATCTGTGCTGGTCGGGTAGTAGTGAAGGCAATTGACTGATAATTTTGCGAACGTCCATGATTTCGAGTATATGTCATTCGAGGTTCCATTACATTTGAACCCACGTACATTTGAACCCATGACAATTGCACCTGTATGCTATTGCACCTATGGAATTTTTTTGTTTCACGGATAGTTAAACCCATACTAACCCTAACCCATGGGTTTTAGCACCCGCATATAGATTGAACCCGTGGATATACGCATGGGTTCAAATGTACATGGGTTCAAATGTACGGTCACCGTCATTCGAGTTAGTGGTGAATTGTTTTAAATCAAGTTTTTTTTTTTGCCTGTTTTATTCAAAATGGCTGTACTATTTGATTTTTTTGTAATAAATAGGTTAGAGAAAATGGATGTAAAAACTTGCCAAGCGCTTCCTATTTGCAATAAATCCCTCAAAACGCCACAAATTTCGATAGAGACTCATACACATCTTCTCAAGCTGTAGTTCAGTGGTTTGCGCAGTAAGACGCAACCGATAACCCATTACGTGAACGACCCTGCTACGACAAAACCACCTTGCGAAAATTGAAATGCGATCGAATAAATGAGTTTGTATAACCTTGAAACACTCTATCACTTCCACCTTAAAAACAAAGTATGCTAAGCATAAATTAACCGAACAGTATTGACCGTAATAATGCCTTCATTTTATGAGAAAAATGCCAATACATGAACTCGAAATCCATATTATGGCGTCATAACATATTAGTCTTCGCATCAGAGGACTCTTACAATTAGCATAGGCTATGCAAGGGTGTCTCATCGTTTATATTAGTTTCATTATCGCAACCCACTCGTTTTGCCGAAGGCTGCCCTTGATCTAATTGCTTTTGTAGTAGGATCGTGAGCTAAGTTTCATGATTTTTCTTACTCAAAACGTCTTTCTGATAGACATTCCGGTTAAAATCTTATGTCTATGGTGGAGATACAAAAGTGGCGATAAATGTACGCAATAGAAGTAAAAGTCAAAATAGGAATTTTTACTTACATTTATGAAATTATAATTTCGGCTGCGTGTGCAGCTGCCAGAATGCAACGTTTTGGCGTAGTTTCGCGGCGATGCAAGGGTGATTTCAATAAAAAAATACAGAAAAAAATTGATTTAAAACAAAATCCTATTTGTGTTATATTCATAACATCTTAATTTCGATTACCATGTTTGAATGATCATTGGGAAGAGATGTCTTCAACGTAGAGGATATATGGCTTGAAAGTTAGGCATCGTTTAATCATACCATATTCGTGAACTTGGGTAGGTCTGTTGAGCCACGAGCCTGAATTGAACTTTGCACCAGGGAGATGCAGTGACCCCTGTTAAAAATATGTAGGTGGGGAGGCGGGGAGTGGCGTGAATGAATTCTCGATTAGCCCAGATTCTATTATAGTCATAGGCTTGCCGGCAGATTTGCTAATTTTTTAAAGTATGCAGTTACTTTAATTTCTAATTAATTCAAAATAGAAGTGAATCGATCCACAAATATATATCGATATACATAAGATTTCAAGAAATTTTAAATTTCATTCGCTGAAGTATATTCGCCGAAGTGTGTTGTCTATGGGAAAGTTATTTCCAAACAAAATAATGAAAAAATAAAACTTCGCATCCACAAACCGGTAGAATGTTTTAACATAAATTGTCAGCGCGAATAACGGTCAAGAAAGTATTTACTTCCGTGAATAAATCCGCTATCTATGCTTTGTATATTGCTTCTAATTAGGGAGTCAGCAATGAAAAGCAAGGTTCCAAAAACTTACAGACGACATGCAGGCGCACTAATTAAATAGAATTTACTGATTTTCGAAACTGCTGAACTTTTCTTGTTGAGGTTCGCGAATATCTGTAATTTTGGATTTTACGTAAATTGGGAGCGCGAAAAAAAAGGTTTAAAAACCACTGGTGGACACAACAGTGGAATTTATCTCAGAGTCAATCTAATCACTAAATTAAAAACAAATAAACTCAACAATAGGTGAACAGTAAAGTCAGCCTAAAATAAGGCGGGCATCGCACGACATTTTCATCGGTATTGTCTCCAGATACAAGTGGAGAAATATAGAAAGAAGTTTCCCAAAATTGTCAAAGGGATACATATGCACGGTTTGGCAAATAGATACGAGGTACGGCTTATGTAGACGATTACGCCTTGTTGCAACCCTAGCTGATGTATGCTAATGGTTTCAAATACGACCGATTCCATAGTACTGTATATTTGAACTGTGGCTCCAGCTATGGAGCTTTTTACATTAAAGCCGACTGGATATCCAATGGTGTTTTTGATGTCATCACTAGCATGAAACAGCAGCCTATATCAAGTTTCGGAAAGCGCAACTCGAAATTTTGATTTTATATGTTATATATAACTTGAATTAGAATACAAATTATTATTGGAATTTGAATATTGAAAAAATATTGCAAAAGTGGGATAGAATTATTATTTTAGTAGTATCAGCAAATTATAAATGGGAAAAATAATTAGATGATAAGAAACCGGAGTCACTGAAATTTCTGCTAACTTCAACGCATTCAAGACTTCACGGCCCCAAACTCTTTAACTCCGCCCTCCACCTGGTGAAGAGTTTGATGAGGAATTTCACTCCAAAAGAGCAAAATAATTTTCTGCACTACGAAGTAATACAAACGCGCGAACATTAAAATATCGGAAATTTTCATTTGGAAAAAAAAAATAGGTGCTTTTGAGGTGGATATTCAATAATAGGTCAAATCAGGAGTGTGCAACCTTTTTTTTAAAGAGATAGATTCAAAGTAACTGGGTGAAGCTTCGGGTTGCACATAAACTCTACCTACAAAAAATCAAACATACGAAAATTCTTCTTGTGAAAAATATTGTGCTTCGGCTAACGTAAGATTCTCTACATATACACAAGGGGCGAGAACCGAAAACTTGGCGTGTAGAAATATTTGTTTATTTGAGGTTGATTTAATGCAGTGCTTGAAGCAGGGATGTCCAATTCGAATTTAATATTCGAATATCGCGACCTCCAAATATTGTTTTTCGTGTTTGGCGCACTTATCCTAGCGCCACTGCCGCCGTCCACGTTTGATTTAAAACATTTTACACTTATTTCATTTCCACGCGGCAATAAATTATCTGCCATCTCATTAGCCCGTTTGTTTTCCGCGGGTACGTACAATGTGTTGCTAGCGAAATTTAGTGAAAATACGATGATACGCGTAACAATTAATACGAAAGAGAAAAAAATTGAATTTCATGTGTGTGTGGTCATTTTCGTACATTACGTTCTCTCCGTGCTGTCAAATTTTGCCACTCTCCGCTGTCTTATTTTAGCTTATCCTGGTCGGCCAACGCGAAAGGTAAACAAATATACCGTTCGTAGTTTTCATTCGGTATTTTTCTGTTCTTTTCATGTATATTTTTTCCATTTATTATGCAGTAATCTAATTCTATCATGTATTTGCTACGGGTTGGGTTTTAATCATTATTATAACTTATATATACAAATATAAGTCCCGAGTTTGTGGGGGCTTAGAACGGATTAGAGCATTTACAGGTAAATTGCGTTGCTATCTTAGAGAATGTTTTCCTACGAAGGGGCTCCCGGAACGAATTAATTTTGTAGGTAGAGTTTCCATTCAAATCGGCACCTCTTCGCGAGCCGCACATTTTATCTTTGCGGGCCGCATTTGGCACACCCCTGATTTTAAATCAATATTCCCTAAGGTATTTATAAAATTAGTTTCAGGATTTTAAGAACCAGAAGGATTTTCCTTCATTTTCTAGAGCAGCATTTGGGTTAAAGCTCTCGAATAATTCACGACTTGACGACCCAAGAAAATCACAACAGTCACTGCGGGAGGCCAGTGGCCGTTGGTTCGCGAAACTACCTTATTCTCTAGCACAAGGCTGCCCAAACCGCGGCCCGCCAGACTGCTTTTTGTGGCCCGCCCAATAACGTTTGCGAGCAGACTTTTTAAATTTTTACTATGCTATTTTGGCACGTTTGCATGTTTCGTGATTTTGGTGTGATCATTCCCGCTATCTATCTACATTCAAATGCCGATTCTTATTATTACGCATGTATCAAGTCTTGCGCCCTGGTGGACATCGGAGTTAGTTTTTTTTATTTTTCGCGAAACTGTGCGTCCGGTTCGACGAACTCGATAGATATTAGGCGATCATTAGGGACGAACGCTGAGCGCAGTAATAGGATTGAATTTGGAACCGAAACTTCCAAATTAAATTCATTCTGATTGCTTTCTTTCGTGTCGGCTTTGATCGTCTTCATCGTAAACGTAATATAAAAAGTCAACAATATCTTTGCTACTGGTTCCAAGACTCGTTGTCAATTTATGTTTGTATTTTTGTTTATGTTATGTATGCGTTAAACAAAATTTCGGAAATGTCGTCACTGCGTATCCGATGACTTCTACATATTGGCATTTCTACATATTCAAATTATATATACAGTATATATATATATTCGTCCAGACATCTTTGTAAGGTTACTTCATTAAATAATTGTATTGATGTTTTACGAACAAAAACTTGATGCTCCTGCGACATTGGCGCACATTATGCTCATTAAAAATTGAGACCATAATATATAGGCACTGAAAATCAATCAATAAAAACACTTGACGCAAATATAACACTCAATTTTGACCTCTTTGTTTGTTGGTGAAAGTTGTGTGCAGATTATCGTGTGGTCGTCAGAAATTCACAAGTGCGTTGTGAAATGATTGATTCAACGTCCCGCTAGTTTAATGTCCACGCCCAGTGTTACCAGATATTCGAATAGTAAACATATATTCTAATATTCGAAAAAGGCGAAAAAGGTTGGGCAGGCCTGCCTAGCAGTACGTAGAAATCTATTCATATTTCTGCTCAACCACGAATTAGTATCCTAGCAACAGTTCACTTCGATAAAAACAAATTCAGCTTAATTCAAAAAGTCACTTTATGTTCAATCAGAAAAACAATCTACGAACAATCACACACAAGTACAAACAAACAAATAAACAAGCACGCGTAAAAAAGGACCAACAATGACGGCAAACTAAAACCATTATTTATACAATTTATAAAATGCTTTTAAAACTCAAGAATCAAACCATGAAAATAATAAAAACAAATAAACGAGAAAATGGGTTATAAAGTCAAAAATTTTGTTTTGTTGAGGATCTGTTATCGAATGACTTACCTTACCTAAATGGAAACAGTAAGATCAGTAGTCCAAAACTTGCAGAATTTTCACAATTTTTTTTTTTTTAAAATAGGTAACAATATTTTTTTAAGCGATTTTTCACAAAAATGTTGTTTCCCTGGAACACCCAGGAAAAATCGTTTAAAAAATTGTTACCTATTTCGAAAAAAAAAAAAATTTGTGAAAATTCTGCAAGTTTTGGACTACTGATCTTCCCTATATTTAAAATTTGTATGGATTTGGGAATTAAAGGTTTAGGTTCGTATTTGTCTTGGTGGCAACGGTCTTGGCAATGTTCAGATGCATATTAGTTCCCGCTTGAAACATGCGAATGGCGCCAATGGTCGATCATAATATAATAAAAATGGCAGAAACAAATCTTTAATATTATGTTGAATCACAATCGTAAAATAAAATAAACGGAGGTCAGAGTGGGTGATATAGGTAAAGTAAAAAATGGTGCAACCATTTTATCAATTCAATGTTATTTATAGAATACAACAAAACTACCCTTTCATTATAATACAAACCGAAGCTCAAAGATAATAGCCAATAAGACTGTTAGATATAAACCATAGACACAACTGGCACACTCTATAATGCTCTCTACACTCTATAATGTTTAAATTCAAAAATTGTATGAAAATAAGATTCGTATAACTCACTAAAATATTTGCAATAACTTTGATAAACAGTTGATAGTAATGAATTATTAATAACGTGAAGATATCCATACAGTTATTCCATCTCAAATTTATTTATTGGGACTTAGCAACACTGATAGTCATAGATCGCCTCAACATAACATATCGTTGTGACTGACTTCGTGCTTGACATTGTGCTTCAGATCTTACATTGTAAAACATGCATAATGAGATTTATTAGTTAGGAGAAGGAAAACCTGTGAAATGAAAAATTAATAAAAAACGCTGAAATATTCCCAATTTTAGTTTGAAAAGCTTTCAATGAGGTATAAACACATTCACACATGCAACATTAAAAGTTACCGTTTTTGGCGTTTTCTGTTACAAATCTAAAATGCACATCTATTGACTGGGGCACAAAGCATAAAAAAAAAGAAAACTTCACAATTTTTCGAAATAATGCATCAAACTAACACTAAAGTTATCATGACAATCAAAGGCTTATAAAAGGTTAAACCTTAAAACATAATAACAAGAAGGCAACTATAAAATGATGGCACTATCACATGAACCTTATTAAAATGGCATTTAATTTTACAAGAATATGTTAACATGAAAGAAAAGAGTGAAAGTAATAGTAGAAAAATAACAAAAGTACTCGCCAGAAAGAGATTTCAACATTATTTTATTATTTCATTTACAAAAAAAATCAAACTTGATAAAAAATAAGGTAAAGAAAAGACATCTTCAACCAATTTGAAAAAAAGAATATTGAGTTGGAATCGATTCGATTTGTATATCGACATGAATATACCTGGTGGCAATCATGCGCTATATATATAATTGTCAACTGGAATTGTTAAAATTTAACAAACAACTACAGAATATAGTTACTATGAGGAATCAGTTACCGGGGAAGGTGGGGGATCAAAAATTGGATAATCAAGTTCAGTATTTGATGAAGATGACCTTGAGGGATCTGATTGAATAAGAGGTTCGTCTGCTTTCTCCTCTACGTTTGGAGAGGAGTTGTCATCTTGAGGTGAGGGGAAAACCTCTCCCTCATCAGCTGGTTCACACTTAGTTTTAAGAAGTTGTTGATGAACAGACGCATCATCATTGTTTTCAGATGTCGGATCCTTATTAATAAGAGGATCTGTATCTTTAGAATCGTCATCTTCTACTTCTTCCTCTAATTGATTAACAAATCGAGTAGGATCATCATCCTGGTTGTCCTCTGCCTCATCGTGAGTGCAACAATAATCGGACATGTAGTGACTGCGAGGTGTAGGGGGTGGTGCGAACGGATCAGAGTCACTGTTCATTTCAAAGGGCACTGCGTTGTAGCGAGGCGGTTGTCGATGAGACGACATACCTCTACTACCTTTCCGTGAAGAAGAATGGTAGTGTCTACCGGTCTGCCGTCTACAACATGGCCCCATGCATTCTTGTGGGTTGAGTCTTGTGGACCCGGAAGATGATGATGAATGATGGTGGGGTTCGTGTCCCAAAGGTGGGGTCCTGTACCCATGATGGGATGAATGATACGAAGAAGGTGGCATATATGGGTGATAACCCCCATTATAGCCCATATAAGGAACACACATGTGGTGATAGAAGTGGCAATAAGGTGGTGGAGGAGATGTGGGTGCCCCGCCAGATTTACTCCTCCTACTCAATGTATCGAATTCTCTGCCACTGCCACTGTGGTAGGAACAATCGTCATACGAGTCAGATGGGCAAGGAGTTGGATGGGGTGCAGGCATATAAGCATGGTGGTGATACATTCTCCTGAACAAACAAAAAAAAATTGAATTTAGAAGTTTCAAGAATTATTGGAAATCCAAAATCTCACCAACACAGAAGACATGAAAAGAATGTTTGGGGAATAATTAAATAATGAAACCCTTCAAAAAATTTGATGACACAATTTATGTATTCAATCGGATAACGAACCAAACCAAATAGAAATAAATACATAAAAATTACCTGCTATGCCTGTGACCATTTCGGCATCTGTAGTATGAAGCAGCCGTTCTGGTAGAAGGACTATCAGATGAATATTGACATTCACCTGCACTTTTTGACCCAGATCTGTCTGTTGCTGGTGATGGAGGTGGATTGAGTGTCTGTAAAAAATTATAGATTTTTAAAAACAGAAGATGAATGGATGTGTTTTTGTACGAGCGAATGAATTTCTGATAAACATTCCATAAAATGCTAGTAATGTCAAATCGATTATATGTGAATGTGAAAAATATAAGGCGCTCCAGAAGTGTGTGTACCAATATGAAGTTAACTAATTTTGTTCGCCTACTTTGCATCGAGTTGTGTTAAGAGAATGAAACCTATGGGTATATTCACTTGGCTAACACAGACAGTCCCCGAACTCGTAATCAAACTAAAATAAGGAAAATCGGTATAAAATTATTGCCTAACCCTAACCTGGTACACACACTACAGGAGTACCAAATATAATATGATCGATGTATGAAAACTACTGTGGGTGAGGTTTTTGCCAAAAAAAAAGTAAAACACGAAGGTGAAAAAAAATTCTATTATTATTAAATTGTCAACTCACCGGCAAGTATTGCTTATTCGTTCTACTACTTGAACTACTGGATGAAGCACCAGTAATATGTGGTCGTTTCTGGAACTGAGGAAGCATCATGTGATCACTTATATTGTAAGTACTTGCATAACGCATTGTTCCATAAGGTCCCAACTGTGGACCAGGAAGAATAGGGTGATGAGGTTGGGGCAAACGAGCATCGACGATTGGTGCAGCCCCCTCAGGATTCCTCGGCCCAATAGAAAAATTAACTGAAGCAGTTGAGTGACCGGATCCCTTCTTTTGAGCTTTTGCTGAATGTGATGTGTTTCCACTATGATCAACTTGAGCAATATGATCGCCATGATTGAATTCAACATTGACTTGGATTCCTCCCAATGAGCGAGCTGTGTACATGACATGCATATCGTTTCCATGCATATCATTCCTTGACTGTAAAAATGAGAAGAAAACTGAAAACTGTCTCCTAAATAGAATTTTTTGTTAAAATAGATAGCACATAGCTTTGGTCTATCTCTAATCTCTAAACTGGATGATGCTAAAATGAGTTATCACTCTATATACATATATAAAGACATACATATTCACAGATAGGCAATGGCATACTAATGCCTGCAATATCGTAGTCACTGTAGAAGTAGCAGCAGGAAGTAACGCTTTTTGTGTATTTGGATCGAGGCGTTTTATGCTATTTGCAACAAAAAGAAAGTCTTCACATAAGCAAACATAGATTTGTTAAAATTACATTCTGCATAATATCTTTTCATATAGTATTTTAATTCTGAACATTATACCGTCTGGCAAGGCCTTTCTTTGATTTATGTGGCCCAAGAAACCACCTGTGACTCCTCTGCCAGTAATTTATGGTATTCCATAAATTACAATATATCGAACAACAAAAAAATGTTGCATCAGAATTCATGCGATAAAATTAGTACATGCTTCAATAAATTTTGAACAATACAATATTCACATACGAGTTACACACCTTTACCTTTCTTTTTCTGAAGCTGATAACGATTACAGTAATGATAGCTGTGATACAAACAACACTGATAACAGCAATAATCCAAGTAGTGGAGTCATGTAATGAACCAGGTGATAATGTTGTATCTGAATAAAAAGCAACAACAATATTAGAATAATGATCAAAGATGATAAGTAATTAGCAAAGAAAATTCCACACTTCTTGGGCGATTTATATGCTAATAGTTATAACCATCAATTAGCATGTATGGTGTCCATGCCTTGTTATATCAGTTAGTCTTTTCCAATTTATAACCACAACGATCAGTAGGGCACAGTTCTCTGTTTCGCTAGCATTTGGTTCAATAAAACGAACACTCCATTCGTCTCTGAAATGAGGGCGTCCGCCGGCATATGTGTCTGATCGTGGAATGCTTGTCTCGATCTAAATTCATCGCCATCCTGTGACCAAAATTGCGTTTTTTTTTTGCTAAAAACTCTTGAATTCTACGATAAAAAATTTTTTCCTTGAATAAATCGAATATTTTTTTTTCTGACGAATTCAATGATTCTGATTGCGCTTCCTTTTAGTTTATTGTGCAGTGCCGATTTTTGACTTAACGGAGGCGTTTGCTTTCAATTTTAAATTTGATGACTTTTAATGTGGGAGTTATTCTTGGAATCGGAGAACTGTGCCATACTGATAAATGAGTACATGCAATGAAGTTCGATTTATGCCTGCTATTAAATAATGATTTCCTAGTGACCTAGGCACAGGCTTTTTCCAACCGTGAAGAGAAATACAAAAATGAATGCATTGTTATGTTTTGCGAAAGACATAACTGCAGGTTTTCTACATTTTTGTAGATTTATCCAATCATTAGATAAGTTGTATTTTTAACAGCTAAATTTATTATTAATTCTTGAATCATTGAACCAAATTATAAATATAAATGAATATAGATAGTAAAGAGAAGATAAATGAAAAGAAATGTTTTGAAATTACCATCTATTGAATGGTCTTTCTCCCATTTTTTTGCTAGTTTCAAACGATAATAGTTTTTTAAAGATGAATCAGAAGAAGAGTGATTGCTCACTTGACAGAGAAGAAGCAAAGGCAGAGGAACGAAAGAGAAGAATGAATATTGAAAAATATAATGAAAGTGAATTAGATATAATAATATTTTCAGTAGACTTACAGTTAATTGTAAGTACTGTATGATCAGAATTACTCTCGTAATGAGCTATCACACAGTACAGTAAATATAATTATAATTTTAGTTTTACAAATAATTACGAGAAACATTTTTCCGCCAAGTATAATTGCTTATTTTATGGAAAGAGATCAAATTATTTTTATCCATCACTTTAATACTATATTTTTCGAGTATCCTTGGCACATACGGATAGTCGGATGTGAAGTAGGAAGTGGAGAAGAAGAAAAGACCTAGAGCTTAAAACACAATACCCTAGTCCCCCGGTGACTACAAGGAACTCCGATGAATTCAATTAGAAAAATTCAATAGTTGACTGTTAAATTATAACTAATATATGAACATACTTGGGCAATCTTCATCAGAGGCATCTCCACAATTATCAACTCCGTCACATTTCAGTTTGTTGGAAATACAATGTCTGTTGTTGCATGTAAACTGGTTCTCTGCACAAGCTGATTAAAAAAAAAACATTTTAGGATAGGAGAGGATTTACATATTTACCCTTGATATTTGATAAAGGACGAGTAAAAATTTCTTTAGGATACATGAATAATACCAGACTGACTATTACTACCACTGATGTTTTATTCACTTTTTTCTTTGCCTGTTCGAATCTTTTTGCTTCTTCATAACAAACACATATGGAGACAATAATTCAAATACGAGTATCAACTTATCCACAGTTCCAAATCAATAATATACAAATTATATTTATATATTGCGCATCAATACATATTTTTGTATCACTGCCCACTTTAACAACTGGAAAACATTGTACTTATAATCACTTACGACAATTCCGTTCATCTGAACCATCGATACAATCGGCTTTTCCATTGCATTGTTCGCCGACGGGAATACATTGCTTGGCACCAATGTCAGTCCAAGGTACTATATTTAAGATCTGACTAGCGTCTTCTGCACTCCTGCAAAAATGAAATAATTGCCAAAATAAAGATTAACGCTCACATCCAATTTTTTAACATGTGGCCAAATAATTACAAAATTTCTCGGAAATTATGGTAGTCTGAAACTTTTTGCATTGTACTGCCATATTTCATAAACCTATATCAACCAGCATGCAGGTAAATAAGTTACAATTTATCATTAAATCTAGCACTAGTAGGCCTTATGATTTGGTTAGATTTGAGATCAGGTGATCCAAGTGTTTAAAAATTACTGTTTATCTGTTACAATTGATAACCAAACATTGTCAGAAAATAGAATCCAGAGAGAGTTGAAAATAAAACAGACTCAAGATTTTATAGAATACTCCACTTACATTCCGGTACCACATTGAAATTTGTCTGGAGAATCACATGGTGGACAGTTTTGTTCATCAGAAGCATCGTAACAGTCTTCTTCTCCGTCACATCTCCAATTAGCAGGAATACAAGGTTTATCACTACCTTGAGACGAACAAATAAAATCACTTGCTTTACAAGTGCTGGACTCGCCTAGAAAAGAAATAATAAAAATTTAATTTTTTTCAGTTCCACAGATCAATCAAAGTATAGTACTATTCAACCAAATAAATGACAACAGTTTCCTAATGCCTGCATTGGTAACAGGTTTATGAAAGATATATAAATGGTTGACGCAGACAAAAAATGTTCAAAATAAATTGGGTAGATGAACAGACTAGGGGTGATATCAAATGGTATGCACTTTTAAAAAAATTTCAAAATGACTTCAATACTATAATAACAACTATATATAAAAATATTCAGTTAGCTTGGACAAATGTCTAAATGTAGAAACAACAAACGAACCACAGCTGAAGTCATCGATCAAGGATAGATGCTTTGGGCAAGAACATTTGTTTGTTCCGTCGTCTTTTCCAATACAGATATGTGAACATCCTCCATTGTTTTTGGTACACGGATGCTGAGCTAAAAGATAATAATAACATTGAAGATAAAGATAAAGCTACTTTTCTTGTAGTTATGAGCTGGCAGAAAGTTGTGCTTAACATTACATATCACAAACATCAATTCATATGTTTCAAGAACTGTGCATACCAGTAATGATTTACCAGAATCGAATTTTCTCATATGAAGTTATTGGCAAACTATATTAGTTTATTTGAAGTTTACAACACTGATCGACAGTTAATTTCAGCATAGCTGATGAAAAAAACATCTTTAAATATTGCTATAACAATTAATATCACATAAATGTTTCTAATAATGGTTCAATTTCCCATGACATACCAAAATCTCTTCTTGAAATACTTGTCACGCCAACAATGTCGTTTAGTTCTTCCATCATTCCTAGAAGAACTTTTGAATGTCCTGACTTCTTGTCTGTAACAATTTGATAACCAGCCGTAGCTCCAACCTAAAAATCAGCATATTAATACTAATACAGAGATATTGAACCAGGATAAGAGAGATTATCGCTTTTCGAGTAGTTCGGTTTTCTATTAATATACCAAAATATATAATTAGGCGCTCCAGACGTATGTGTAGGTAACTAATTTTATTCGCCTACTTTACCTTAAGTTTCGAAATGGGGCTGAAGGCCTATGGGCAGGAGGATATTCTCTTGGCTAACACAGACAGTCACCAAACTCATAATAAAACTAAAATAAGGAAAATCGGAATAAAATTGCAGCCTAACCCTAACCTGGTACACATACTACGGCAGTACCTATAATCAATCAAAAATGAAAAAAATAAATAAATAAATAAATAATAACTTTTCTTACAGTTTCATCCACCCAATATACATTTGATCCTAGGATAGTAATTGCTCCAGGTTTGCTTACATCGTCACGATAAGATTTTTTATGATTCCCGTTCAAGTCGCTCACTTCGATTTTTTGCAAACCAACATTAGACCAATATAATCTGAGTTGAGAAAAAATAATAATGAATAAAAACTTTGTGGATGAATATAAGCAGGAAGTGTTATGGCTTCGTTAGATATATTTTCATATATCTGTTATGTCTATTTTCAAACCAAATCTGAATATAGCCATAACCATAATCCTAAATTTTATCTTTTATTATTGTTTATATTTTATTTAAATATCACAAAAATATTTCATTTAGATACAAACAGTTAAAATAATTCGAGACATTCCCTTGCGGAAAATCAGTATATACATTTGTGAGTGTAATTATAATTCATTTAGAATAAGAATAATACTAATAAAATCATATCACTGATAGAAATATCTATTTAGAAACGAGGTTATATTCTCGTATCAACGCATTTCTTCTTCCATCCTATCAATGTATCAATTACCCATGATTATTTCACCAGCCCTTAAAAATATTTTACCAACTATGAATTCAAAATACCTTTCTGCATCATGATCAATCGCTAGACCAGTGACCCTGTCTATACCTCGATCAATTATAGAAATAACTTCTCTTCCTGCATAATCAGCACAAATTATCGAGGTACGACATGAATCATCATCTGATGGGCATTCACTACTGAAGAATATTTTACTGTTAAAAAAAGGAGAAAATTAGTACCAAAAGTAACTCAAAATATTTGTACAATTTTTTGTTTAAGAACGGCAGCTCAAAGTACGCTCACAAGAACAAGAACTCAAAAATTAAAAAGAATGATCCTAAGCAAAACTACAGGCAATCACTTAAATGCCAAAAGATACTGATACTTTTAAAAAAAAGTATAGTGTGGGGTTGTGCATTAATAAATACCAGCTGACCAGAGACTTCATGCAGTTCGTGCCATTATGATTAGTAAAACGACTATGAGATAAGGATTCCATAAAACTGAAGTTTGTGGGAAAGAATTTTAATTTCTGGCAGGTACACTGACTGTAAATGGGTGAAGGCTAAACAGCAAACCCACAACTGAAAACTTTTTTGAACAAAAAGTACTAAAAGTTCAAAACACACTCATCTATAGTATTTGTGGAATAAGCAAATCGGCACAGCATTTCGTCTATAAGAAAGGGTTTTCAGTTCTGACGCCGATCATATCTGCTATTTATTTTTGAATGAGAATAATACAAAACATGTTAAATATAAAATTTCTCTAAAAAAGCTTCTTCATAAACATAAATCAGCTCACCCATTGGTTGGATGAACTACAATTTTCCTCGGTCTGATAAATTTTCTTTTCTCATTGATTCGAACCATATTTTCAACAATTGTGCCAATGATTGTGCCATCCAGTTGCATAATATTTATCTAGATGAAAAAAAACTCAAATTACAGAAGGAAATATTTTGAAGTAATGACAAAATGAGGATACTCCAAGAATTGGTTACATGCCGTTATCAACCAAAGATCCCGTCGTATTCGAAGCGATAAAATGAACATGTTATGATTAATTGAATAAAAACTTACTAAAGCAAAAGAGCAACATACCGGGCGGTAATAAATAAATCAGTATTTAAAAAATAACTTTCGACAATGTAACATTTTAGAATATTTTGAAGATATTCCAACAGTTGAAAATTTAGGTAAAAATAGAACAAGACAAAGTGGTGGACGGTGATAACTTACTGTATTATTATAACTATCCGTCCAGAATAAATATTTCCCAAATGGATCGATAGCCAAGTCATACGGATGATGATTTGATTTGTTGTTGGATAGAACAGTTGTAACCTGAAAGTATTCGAGAGATTAGTTTTGGAATATACATAATAAATATTTTTATACTCTTGCCTAGAGAAAATAACAATCAGTTTTTTTATGAAGCATTTCCACACTTGCTCTGAACAAAATTCACTATTATTTTCAGAAGCACTAGAATCGTTCAGGTTTGAACTGTATTAAAACTTACTTCACTTCCATTCATTCTTGACTTTTTTATTTCTCCGAGAGTTTGATCAATCCAATAAACGTATCCTTCAATTGGGTCATAATCAATAGAAATCACATGACCAAGATTACGAATAGGTAAAACTGCAGCAGGATCTGGATTTTGTCGACTCGGTACTACTCTACTAATGTATCTATCTTGGCTGAACAGAAGAAACGTTTCTGGTGCTGTAAAAATTAAATTAAAAATAAAAAAAATTCGTAATAATGCTGCTACGTAACTTCAAATAAGTAATTATAAAATCATACGCTCATTTGATAGTAGCATCTTGTTGATACTCATAGTATTAAGAAAAAACGGATATGCATAAATGTACTTGGATTAGTGATAAATAGGCAGTCAGGTAGATTACAAAAAATGTTACTCTGCTATTATAAACCATAAAACATACAACAGGTAAACACTCTTAATATATTTAGATTCTGTAAATTGATTAAAATTCTAGCTTTTTCAAGAACAATTTATGATTATTGCAATTAAACTAAAACAACTCAGAAGATATTTAATTTATACTCAATAACGGGTCGAGTGTGAAAAGGGTGGCTGATAAAGTTTCAATTGGTTTATCATCTTTGCATCTGGTTGATTAGTCAATATTATGAAAATAAACAAGAGAGTCAATGCTTGTAAAAATATTCACAGAAATATTCAAACTAGAACAAATGACAACTATCGTATCAAATATGAAACATTATTTCTTACCACTGCAAGAGACATTATCCTTTTTCAATTTGTAATGTGCTGTGCAGGTACATTGATGAGTTCCACCAGGTACAGATAGACATATGTGTTCACATCCACCATTTGCATGAGAACAAGCTGAAACACCAGTTTGTCTTGATGTGTGATAAACCAACATATCATGGATTTCCTCTCCATGTGTGACTTCCTGAATGAGTTGCCTGAAAAATAAAATATTTTTACGCTTAGATTATGAATTCGTATACAAAATTGGGCGCTCCAGAAGTGTGTGTACAATATGGAGGTAACTGATTTTGTATGCCTACTTTACACCAAGTTGTGTGAAGGGACTGAAAGCTATGGGCAGGGGATATATTGACTTGGCTAACACAGACAGACAGTCTCCGAACTCGTAATTGAACTAAAATAAGGAAAATCGAAATAATAATATGGCCTAACCCCAACCTGGTACACATACTACGGGAGTACCAAACCATAATGTTTCTGCATTTTCGTTCATATTTGACATCATCATAAGTGGTTTGGAGTTCGTTAATGATGGTAGGTTAGCCCCGCCATTTAGTCCAATGCTGGCACCACTGGCGCACTGGGCATAAAAATGAAATACTTCCGTAATACTAACAGACAATCTTTAACAAACTTCAATATGTATAAAAAAAACTATACTATATGATTATACATAAAATAAAAAAACTTTAGATTAAAACTTGTTTGAATTTATGAGTATTGCACATCACCGCAGTAAAATCAATCTTTTGGTCTGAGTTTCGAAGCTGTACTTGTATTAGTTTCAATTGAAGATAGAGCCTTATGTCCCTTTTCAGGTTTGGCTGTTGGAAGCATGCTACTGCGGCAATGCTATTTTCTCAAAACGTCACGTAAGCGTATTTTGTTCTACGGCGGCGATATATTCATAAATTCATGATCAATCTTGTATTTGTTTCACCTGTTTGCTCCATTTGTTTTGTTGGCTCTCTCGATGGAATTGCCTTTTGTCCAGTAAATATAGTCATTGTATAATGTCATTATGAAGATTGCTTTATCGACACTTGAAAATATTGACAATCTATCTTGTCCCGTCATATTTGATGAATATATTACATTAGCATCAATGTCGACCCAATATAGACGTTTGTTCTCGTAATCTATGGTTAAGGAATTTGCTCGACCTATTTCACCATTTCCGAGAAGAGTGGTAACATGCGACCCATCCATATGAGCTCGTCGAATCTTAGGCTGCCTACCCCACTCTGACCAGTAGATGTACCTAAAGAAATATTTTCAATAATTTATATTAAAACCAACGCATCATATTTATAAAGCTTGAACAGGCCTTTACAATTTTATCCGATAGAAACAACATGGAAAAACTCTATAGCATTATTCTCATATTTCAAAAAATAGATCAGTAACACAAGAATATGTAAAATGTATGGCACTCTGGAAGTATGTGTACCAAAATGGAGGTAACTAATTTTGTTCGCATACTTTACATCAAGTTGTGTAAAGGGACACAAGCCTATGTGCAGGGGTAATGTGGTATATTCACTTAGCTAACACATACAGTCCAAGAACTCGTAACAGAACTATAGCCTAATAAAGAAAGTCAGAATAAAATTATGGCCTAACCCTAACCTGGTACACACACTACGTGAGCACCAAATGTATTTCCTGAATAGTCCTTTTTTTTGAAGATTATGCTTTGAAAAGTTGTTCCAAGTCATTCAAGTCAATTATCAACTTTCCATTATAAAAGTTTCTTAAAAACTATGACATACCCATTGACTGGATCCACTGCAACACTGGATGGAAAATCCAGATCATTCAATACAATTGGACGACGACTGGTAGTGTCCATTCTGGCAACTTCTATGCGACTGGTCAGTGAATCTGCCCAGTAGATGTTACGTCCAAGCCAATCTACAGCAATTCCTTCCAGTGTGCTGGCACCCTGGTCTACAACACTCTGAACGTTTGTTCCATTCATAGAAGCACGAAATATTTGCTGAAACAAATAAAAATCCAAGTCTTTGCAATGATTCCAAATGAAAAATGAAATTTTGCATTTATTCAGAGCAATACAGCAAGGTCCAAGACTCATAATAAATCATTTTTAGTGAAATTTTTATTTCAACAAACAGCTGTATGTACTAATTAATATATTTGTTAGATGACATATTTTCCAGCTAATAAGTAGATTTTCTGGACCAAATTTCTTAATCTGATTTTCAGGGTTTGGCTTACTATTAGATTTGGACTAAAAAATTCTGGAAAAGTGGGACAATAACATGCCTTCCCCGTCAGTTTTCATGAATCGTCGTTCTCTCTCTGTGTGAATCGCAAACATCTCTGCTGTTATTAATATATTCGATGTTGCCACATTTATGTGAGCATCACCAGTAAAAGCAATTACCGATACAATCAGTGTAATAAATCATAAAAACAAGGCGCTTTGGCACAAATGCTGTAAACACTGCAAAGAAAGAGTGCAAGAGTGTCCGACCACATTGGTGCATATTCGAGAAAATAATTAGCAAAATATAATCGATAAAAACATAAATCAAAAACCCTCATTTCCAGTACTAAAAATGGTCCTTGACTTATTTGTCAAGTCAGCTTATTAGCTGAGCAGTTAGGCTAAGAAGATGTTCTATATCAGCTACAAACCTTCTTGTCATTATCAGTCCAATAGATGGTGTTGTCATCTACTGAAACATCGAGATGTATGGCATCAACATGCTGTGGAAAAGGAACTTGGATACTTCCTTTCAATGCGGTTTCAAGAGATATTCTTCTGACGCCGGCAGATGCCAAAGTGAAAAACAAGAAAGCTTCTGGCTCAATGCAATTTCGCATGTCAGATAAAAGTTCTTGTCCATTAGGACATTGGCACCTTGGACCCTAGAATAAAAAATAAGGTGGTTGAATTGATGACTCCTGATGAAAATCTGTCAGACAAAATTTAACAGTCATAGTAATGCCAATCTTTATACAGTACATATAGGGCAAGGGTGGGCAAGGTTTTGACCAGGGGCCAAAAATTGTACCCACCTAGGGCACCCATGTAAGTAAAATGTTAAATTTTATGAAATATTTACAGTGTTACAAAAGCAAAAGTGAAAAACAATAAGTCTCATGATAAAACAACATTTAATCTGTAATCTCAACAAATTCCTTGAGCTATTTTAGCTAAAACACCAAAATTTGGTTTTAGTTTGGTTATGGTAGCATCAGGCAGGCCAGATTGAATAACCTAATGGGCCAGATTTGGCCCGTGGGTCGTAGTTTTCCCTGTAAGATATAGAGTGATGAGGTCAATAGGAACATACTCTGGAGAGAACATCATTTTCTATCTCTGAGTCCTAGATTACTGGAACTGTTAGGTACAAACATACATAAGTAGAAGTTCAAGTGTTAAATAAATTTTCATATTCGTTTAGGAAATTGAGAAATTCAAGTGTTATGTTTCTTTTGGTTCGCCCTATATTTAAATGATCCATGCGTAAAAAAATTCAACCTGCCACTTTTTACCATATTATTAGTGGTGGAGAAAGTGTGAAATACCTTAGATGAATAATATGTTTTTGAGCGCTTATTTGAATTTTATGCCTTTACAATACATTTAATAGTTTTTATTTCGTGTGAAGTCATAATGGGATAAAGAATGTTCGCATAACAACAATCGGCCATATGAAAAAAAGTTGAGATTTGAGAACCACAGCTATTTGAAAAATACAGGATAAAAAATATAGAATATAGATCAAAACAATGTCACTATTGAAGATGAAAGTTATCACGAGTAACAGTCAATCTTCATAAAAAGAAGCCGGTACAATCACACTTGAAAAATATGACATGGGCTATTTGATATGAAAGGAAGCAAGCATAAGGTCAACTTTATCGCACTTGACATACTCGGTAGAACGTTATGTTTGGAAAAGAATCAAATGAGAATGATTTAAAGAAAACCGAGTACCGACGATTGATTTTTTACACACATAGGAACACCCAGGATTGAAATATCTAAACCATGCTATAAGGTTTAATATAAATCGTAACTGGTGGAAAATTTTGTAAATTTCACTGAATAACATAGAAATTCTAATTGATAATATATCGATTAATAAAGGAAAAAAAAAGATTATATCACTCATTTGAGAGTTTGAGTAACTAATATTCATAAACTTGTTTTGATCATATCTATCCACAATATCATAAATTATCATGACAAATTTAAAGATTTCATGATTCCAGGACCTATTGATCAAATCTACCGTAGATATATTTTAATCTAATTCTAATAGTACAAAAGTAATGCTAAAAAATTGGATTACATTTTTATTTGAACAATCGCATGATATTGTACATGTAGTAGAATCATGTTTCACCAAATTTAGAATTTAAAAAAATATCTTGAAATTGAACAAAAATGATAAGTCCAGCTACATATCTGCCTTGCAAAAAGAAAAAGAATAGCAGAACAATTAGTGCTAACCCCGTTTTAGTGGTCACAGCTATGACAACAATATCTGAGAATGACGGATATGTCATATCTTCACTTCTTTAATGTTAGTTTTCATTAAATTTAAGATTTGAACAATTTTTTTCGTCTTTATATCCTGATTGGAATTCAGGCATCTTAGAAAATATATTTCATCAGAGATAAATTATAGCATTGTATAGCTGTCAAGCATGATGTTCATTTAATATCTCTAGCCAGACTTGTTAGGCATAAAATAGTCTTAAAATAGATAAGGTCATTTAGGTGAAATCCATTTTTCCTGCCTATGAAATGCCCCATTTAAAAATATTTGCACAAAAAATGTGTAGAAACGTTATCAGTCAAGTGTAAAAAGTTTTCTGACTAACAAATCCAATTAGCATGGTTCCTCCCTAATGCCTGCACTCTAACGAGAGTTCTAAATAAGGCAAAATTAACAGAAAGTAGCTGAAAAACAACCTTATTGCATGTTAAGCATTAGTCATAATTAAAGTACCTTTCAGGAAAAAGTATTCCATTGAGATACTTCTAAATGAGTTTGATACTTTGAGTTAATTCTTTGACTATACAACAGCCAAAGATAGGGCAAGCACTTATACCTATTTTATCTCCGGCCCTTGTATAGTCAAATATTTATCTTGTTAACACAAAACACCTAGAAAGAGAGGATTTGGTCGGTTTGACGAAAGTGGTAGGTAGGTGCACTTTAGACTAAATTAGCAAGGTAAACAAAATATAAATGATCTTTAAATTCGTAGAAAATTTTACGGTAATTGGCCAAATCTGTAGAACCATAATCTTAACTACGCAAAAGTTGAAATTTTTGAGTTTTATTTCAAGCCGGCGTATACAACAAAACAATATTCTAATGCTAACTAATTGTTTACCATATAATTCTTTGAAGTTCACTGATGCTCACAAATCTCCACATAAACAACAACATTGTAAAGTGTATTTTACATTTCCGGGTTAACGTGGGAATTTTTACAACTGGTTATGTCTTGTAACGCTGGCAAATTTCTTCCAATTTAAAATTTTATACTAATTAATAGTCTTCCAATTTAAAATTTTATACTAATTAATAGTTAAGGAATTTGTTAATCTGTAATCGCAATTTGAGAAGCACAAGATTATATGAATCCCTAGAAACTATTCAAAGAAATTTACCTTTGGCGTGTAAAGACACAGATGAGAACAACCTCCATTATTATTGGCACATGGATTAGTTAACTTAGAGGGATGGATATGCGTAGCTTTTATTCCCATAAGATCAGGTAATTCTTCGATCATAGAATGACGAGATCTTTTATCATTAACGAGCATTCGTTCCACTTTTCTCTTTTCCCAATCCGACCAATAAAGGTAATCATCTAGTAAGCTGAAATTAAAAAGGGAAAATATAGAAAGTAATATGCTGAAAAAAGTCAAAAATCCCAAACTGTACATATAGTATTACAAATACAGTAGATCACTTTTGTTTTGTAGGCCTCACCTTACCTTTCCACTCATTATAGATAAAACAAAATAACGTCATCAATATGTGAAGTGTTCAAATTATAGCTAATGGGTCACATCAATTGAGATTTAGTGGACCGTTCGTCCGATGGTTGAAACACGATGACAAATTTCTTGATACACAAAAGGTATAAACAAGCGTGTGCCATAGACGAATCAATGACTCATGTGTTTTTCATATTTTAAAAATCACGAAACAGACCTGAAACCAAATATATGAGGAATTTTCTCTTCAAGTAAAACACGTCTGCCTGAACCGTTTAATCCAATAACTTCAATTTTATCTAAATATGCCTCGGCCCAATATAGTAATCCTCTTTTGTGGTCGATTGCAAGACCTGATAAAAAAGAATTAGTAAAAGAAAATGAGAACATCGTTAGTTGAATGAGATATTCATTTTGTGATGTACACACATTCAATTCTGAAATTCTGAACAAAGATGAGGTAAAACGTATCCAATAAAGTTTAATAATGATAAATTAATAAATACTAGATTTATTAATGTTGCCAGTATTAGAACTATTATAAAAGATTTTTCTTTTTTATTTGGTACATGCGCTTGGTCTACTCAGGATAAAGTTCTAGTTTAGCACACAGACCAGTCGTATACAGATCTACATAATTTACAAACCAATGATGTGATCATTAGATATTTGTAACACATGAATTTAAAATAAAAATACAGTTTGCGTCGTTCAAAAATTATCCAACTCAATTTTTGGATGATTAATATAAAAATTAAAATAATTTCTATCTTAGTTAGTTCACTTACCATTTGGCCATTGAATAGATGTATTAACAAAAACATATCGATCTGTTCCATCCATTGACGCTCTTTCTATCTTGGGGTCGCCCCAATCACTCCAATACATTTGTCCCTTGCCAATGTCAAGGGCTATCGCTCTATAAATACAAATGGTTAATTTAAGACCAAGGATGGAATGAGTCAGAACACAAAAACATAACATTTCAACAACAACATGGAGGTATTCTAATCACTGAATAATTTGCTGTTCTAATCTATAAAATAATATTTAAACTGAATTGTCAAGAGCAGAAAAATTACAGTTGCTGAACGTGCTACATAGAAGTGACCTGCATCAGCCTTCTTTTAGGTTGCTAAAAAATCTTTTTAGGGTGGGGTAGCAGTGACAGACAGCATGGTTATCTTACCTTGGATTAGCAATGCCCTCCTCAATTAAAACTCTTCTAGAAGTCCCGTTTAATCTCGACACAGCGATGTAGTTTCTACCAGCTTCAGCCCAATAAAAATTCCTTGCTACCCAGTCAACAGCAATACCATCACACTGTTCAATTTCATCAGATATGATTTTTTCTTCGTCTAGTGAAAAGTTGGAAAATGTATAAAACAAATCGACAAATTTTTTCAGGTGTTGTTCATAATGACATTGTGTGCATGTCATCCAAAAAAAAAAATTATTCACACAGAAATAAAACACAAAATATCCAAAGAAAATGACATGTCATATCTAGCACATCGTATTATTTAAATTATTATAAATACTGACTGCGGTGATATCAGTTAATAGAAAATATTTCTAGGAATATCAGTGTGTGTTTCATGAAATTTCAACTTCCTGAGGGCTCTCAGTAAGAAAATTTACGAACCTGAGCCATTGAGTCTAGCTCTGTATATTGCTTTCTTCAAAATATTGCTCCAGTAAACGAATCCATCGACTGGATCATAATCTACAGCTATCGCATATTTGATGTTTTGCAGTGGCACGACGATGTCTGTATAATCTGGAGTATCTAGCGAAATCACTCGTAAATCTGGCCGACGGGCGAGCAGTAAAATACTTTCTGGACCTGCAGATAATAAAGTAAGCTTTAGAAGAAATATGCAAAAACCAACCGTTTTTTGACAAAAATATAATTTGAAAGTTAATTTTGCAATTTTTCTTCAATGCAATGAAGCTTAATTCATATATCATGATTTTAACAAATATATTATTTTAGAGAACACTGCTTGAAATTGATTAATAGTATATTACTAATAAGGTGTTGCCTGATATTTGTAAGATAAATTTTTTTTTCTTGATAGATACATTGCAATTAATGAATTATTATTTAGTACATAATTTTATTCATGTCATGTATGACCTGACATACAATAAAATCATACAAAAATAAATAATGCAGATAGTCATGAATAAATAAAATTGATCAAACAAATAGCATTCATGTGAAAATAATGTGTGCACATTAAATAGTTTTGAAGAAAGTGACTGTTTTCCTAAATTATGATTTCTTGATGTGATGAACGCTGGTAAGGCTATGGAAACTCAATTAACCAGTATAAACTAACAACTACAACAATCAACATTCATTCATTTCAAGAATCAATGAATTGACAAAAATCAGTAATTACTTGCAAACTCTTCTATCAATATTCTTTCTCTTAAAAAAAATTACGAAAAAAATCTTGGATTGTTTCAGATTAAAATAAATTGCACTCAAAATAAAAGAATAAAATATCTCACCATCATTACAAGTTTTCCCATCAGACTGCAATTTTACACCAGTAGGACAAGCACATGTGTAATATGGATGTTTGGGTGAGATCAGGCACAAGTGTGAGCAGCCACCGTTATTTTTTCCACATGGATTTCGGCCTGACATTGATAAAACAAAAGAAAAAGATTGAAAAAGATATTCACTATATGAAAATGGATGTCAATATGTCATCTAACTCAGTGGTCACCAAAGTGTGGGTCGCGACCCCAAGTTGGGTCGCCTCGAATATTTCGTGGGTCGCCGAGTGTCCGGCGTTGTATTCTCGTTTTATTCTTCATTATTCTATTGCGTGCATTCTACACTGAGCTGACTAGCACTACACAGCAAGTTTGGGTATTCTGAATTACAGTGATATCTTTTATAATAAGGCTATTGTGTGACGGCAATAATTAAATTGTAACACGAAATCTAGAGCACGTGATAAAATTTTCGGGAATGAGATTTTACTGTGATTAGTTTTTAGTGGTTTGAAATATTTTTTTCCTTGCCATACCTTGGCATCACAAGCTTATCATATGTCATAATTTTTAAAATGGGGTCGCGTCTCAAAAAGTTTGACGTCCACTGATCTAACTAATACATTAACATAATTTCCCACAATATAAACTTCTGTACAATCGACCAATTAGAAAGAATGTAGTTAATTTCACCATAAGGCATAGAATCGTAACACGACGAGCTTATGGCAGGTTGGCAACACATGCCCCTTCTCCATTTCTTGAAATGAGTTGTGTGTGTGTGGAATTAAAATAAGATAATATAATACATAATGTTTAAAAGACACTAGAAAAGACGTGTTTAAAAAATACTAGAACGATGAGAAACAGGTTGGATTGGTTGGCTAATAACAATTTTCTGTAAGGGCCAATTAGAAAAATTGAATCAACAACCTTTACTTCCACTTTGAGACTTTTTGGCAGAAGATTCAACAATCAAATATAAAAACAAAATCCAATAGTAATTCCAAAGCATGATAGTCATGAATATTCACAGTGAAGAGCTCGCATTTAATTCCAATATGATACAACTATAAGTTCAACATTTATCACAAAATAACTCTATAATCCCAGTGGTGAAACTGCCTATTATATTTTTGTCACAATCCGATACACATTATTATTAATACTAAACAGAGTTTATAATATACTGTGATCAAAAAATATTTGTATGTTCATTTATCTAAAACCAAGTAAGACCATGACAAAAAGAAAAGAAAAAGATGAATAGGTTTGTTTATAAGGTCGTAATCGCCATTTGAATGATCTCCTACGTAAAAGAATACATAAACTTCTAAAACATTATTCGTATCCTAAAGCACTGGTTGACATTAAGACTAATAGAAAATACATAGCATTGATTACATTCCGATAATCAACAAATATTGAACTCTTTAAACCTCAAATATTACGGTAGAAGTAGTGAGTGGATTAACTGAAACACAGGCTGTGAGACAATATCTGTCTCAATTACACTCCTGTCAACTACCCTTTCACTAGGAAAGTCGGTTTAGAAATAAGGTGCCTATATCAACAGTCCCTTACCATAATACCAAGATCAAGAAACCCTTGTAAAGCACATACCTAACCTATCTTTCCCAAGTAATAAATACTTCCATTGATCAAATTTTGTGTAAAACCATCAACCATGATCTCAACACTTATTTGATTGAACATTGGTACCAACCGCGTCTAGGAAACACAAAACGCACCGCAAGTACCAATACCAGTCGCAAGATGGAAGAAAATTTTGACAAATGGCCGATTTCGTGAAAGTTGTTATTTTAGGCTGAGAGCTTTTCTGTCGGGACATCGAGATTTTAAAATAGAAATAATAAGTTTAAAATGATTCACCAATAACGGCGATAAAGCGCATAGGGGCCGCGGAGTATGAGTAGTTGTTTTTAAGTATATTAGAAACACCAGACAAGTTGGCTCCCAAACTTTGAGTTTTGCTCAAAGTTATAATACTAAAATCCACGTTTTATCCATTAAATTACCGTACCCAATACGGTATGAATTTATCATTGCGACCGAGCGTGTATAATCCATACAATAACAGATTTTCCATTCGGGCTATGCTTCGGTAGAAGCATTTAATTCAATAATTCCAAGTGCCCTTAACTTTCAGCACAAAAACTTTCTGGGGAAAGAAATCGAACCTACATGGAATTCCGCCCACGTATCCGCATTATGTGGATTTTCACTGATACGAAAATTCGCTATTTTAATGCTAAAATTTAGAGTCGTGACGTAAATACGGGGTACGGAGTATAAGGTAAAACCGGTCTGAATTCCATTTGCGCTGAGGTCATGGCCAAGCGAAGGAATTTTTATATTTTAAATGTTACGAAAATTCAATTTCTATAAATATCAGCATTCCTGCTTATACCCAGAATATTTCCAATTTCATATATTTAAATGAGATTGCGAAACACCGACTATTTCTATACAAAAGTACTTCGATATAAATGTCGTTAAGTCGAGCTTGTTTGCCATGTTTTTCTGCAATAAATTTTTCCTTGACAACCACGTATGACATAATATAAAGATATACATGAATAAGATATACAACGTATATTTCGACTAGTTGACTGACCGTGAGCTAAAAAATTTGTCCCTTCATAATTCTTGATATTATTCACCTGTCTGTTCAATTCTTACGTTACATTTTCTCAACTCTGTGACTATATATTGAAACATATTACTAACAATTCAACTTTAAATCTCACGAGCGTAATAACTTGTCAAATGTTGAAATCTCATATTCTTGCGGTCTCAAAAGTGGAAAACACTACACGCGGTACAACATAGTTTAAAAGCATAGAACTGCTTTTGAAATCTATTGCCAAGAGTGTAGAATTACATTACGTTCGAGTTGATTCCAAATTTGAAGTTGAGTAATCTTTTTCGGGGACAAAAAAGTTCATTTGTGTAAAATAGCGTGGAAAAAGGTCTAACTATCGAAGTGCTCCCTATCGATTTCTTCCAAATGCGCTATGTAAACCACATGTGTGTTTAGCGATGATTTAAATAGGAACACCATTAAGTGCTTGAAAATACCTATTAGCACTTTCACGGGAATGCCAACTTAGGTACCGTGGTTTGAAGTATAGAGTTTAAAACAATTCCAACTAAACTATAGAAGGGGCCGGGGTACTCTCTTTAGGGATTGAAGATGGTATCGGGTTACCGACTGGGTAAAGTTATCTGTTGGGCCCCACAAGAATTAACGTTCTATCATGTGATTGATTGTTTCACAAACTGTCAAGCATGACCGGAAAAGACTTTTACATACGGCCAATGATGATATGCATAATGTCCGCATTCCACCAAAATGTGGTTGTAATATCCAAAACAAAAGAGGTCAAATGAAAAGCGGTTGGAAATACATTTTTCAATGCTTGAAAACAAAGGAGTCTTTCATCATTGTTTTGAGTATTCCGGGAGCTTGACAGTCAACACCAAATCCATGTTTTAGTAACCATAATAATATTACGACCAAAAGACAACGTTAAATAACAATATAATAATTAAAAAAAAGATTATGAAAGATTCAGCACCGCGCATAAGAATTTAGTAGTATGCCATAACTAGCGACGATCGAAAAATACAACTTCACAAAAAAATTGAGACTAAAAAGAAGAACACAAGAACCCATGCTCGTATTTTATGTTACTAGAGCTAATCTTAATGGCGCGGAAGAGAGTTGTATTTAAACAGTCTCTACTTTCACGTCAGTCAACGCTGATTTTATTTGCTAACTAGTAAGACAGGAACTTTCACAAAAAACAGACCTACTTTATAGAATGAAGAAAAATAGTTTCGCGAGTAAGTAAAAAAATAAGCCTGAATGCAACGAATAAACGTTGTTATATCAGCAAGGATTTTATGCTGGAAATTAAATCATTCGAATCTTCTACCAACCCTTATCAGTGCTATGTTTTATTTTCCTACTATTTCTGTCTTACTAAAAACTGAAATTACTGTATTAATATTTCATACTCAAAACTAACAACTTGATTCTTAAAATGACACATCTAGAACGAGTAGACTGCTATTATAAGACTTCTTTTCCCTTACGTATGAAAATGTGAAAACGCTTTTACTTTTTGACCACAACATGCGAAAAACTTTTCAGAATCAGTTATTATTCTGTCAATTTGTCGTATCGTTGTTGCCGACGGCCATTTTTGGATGGGTGAAATTCGACACGCACAAGCAATTAGGCGATCTCCTATCTCAATTTGGGGGGCCTAAAATTTTTTAATGCCCGTTGTAATGATACAAGCAAAACAAACTGAATGCGATGGTACCATAATTCGATACAAAGAGCAAATGTAATGTTCGCCTAATTTTCAACGCAATTTTGAACCAAAATTAACCCTTTACGATCGATATGAAATTCATTGCGAGACATTTGAACTCTAAATTTAGGAGTTTGTGTCCACGGGTCATGGAAAATATGTGACTCTATCAGGGATATCGGATTTCTAATGGTATCAAATCCACCGCGAAAACATTATAGTAATTTTGGCCTTGAATATTAGTTTTACCGAAAATTGGTTACTGAAGTGGAAATTATGTTCGGTCAAGTAATTTCCTAAGTTAATAAAGGAAGTTTTCAGATCTGGTTTATCCGTGGAGTATTGTGAAATACAAAAAGAAATCGTTAATTTGCAACCCTACCAAATGACACTGAGAGATGTAATGGTTAAAAGAACGAGAAATATTAATGGGTAGAACGCAGACAAGAGACGATCGACTTGTGGCCTTACACCAATGCGCTTCAAATCTTTTTTGTGCCGCGGCACAGCGATAATTTCTACATTTTCCAAAATTCTATCTGTTGCGGCGTTTCGTTTATTCGTTTTCTGATGAAACCTGAAATACTTTAGGTTCGTAATTGAAAAAGCATTAATATTTAATAAAAACAACAGAGCGATGTGCATACGTGCACCAATCGTTTTAATGTAGTGTAGAACCTCTGACAAGCGATCCCTTTCTTCTTGCGCAAAACTATCCCTATTTTTTGCTCTTGATCAAGGTCAGAGCAATAATACATAAATACGTTGCCTTTGCGAGCTTTATATACAACGAAA